TAATTCATAAGGCCCAACTGGCCAATTAAATATTGCGTGGGTATAAAGGGGCTGGTAAGTTACGGCTATTGAAAAATAGCCATTAAAAGTGGCGGGGAGCTCTGCAGTTACAACTTCCACAAAGCTAAAATAAAACATGGAATGAATACATCTATAAAGATATATACATATACAATGCTAACTATAGTCATAAACAACAATAGAAGCAGCAAGTTAAATGAAAGAGTGATATGAAATCATTTCGTTCAAGCCTTTAGGGGCTATAGTGCCTAATGTATAAATCCAAAAAGTCTCTCGATTCAAGAGAAGCTTACCCCTATCCCCACCACGCTTAAGTGGAGGGATATGGTCAATAGCTAAAAATATAAGGGCTGGTAGAGGATGCTGCAAAGAAAGAAAATGTTTGGCTACAGGTTGATCAGAGGTACCATCACGGTAGGCTACCCTGATACTAGACCTGTGTCCCTGATTCTCTCACACAGAGGGGTTTCCGTCTTGCCTATATATGAAAGGCCACACGGACACGACAACTTATAAATCACATATGGGGTCTTACAAGTGATCGTATATCGTATTTGAAATACCTTATTGCTGTGTGGATGATGGAAAGTACGTGAAGGTGTCATGTGCCCACAAGTCGCACATCCAAGGCATCGGACACTCCGCCGAGGCTGCATCGCGGTGCTCTTCTCATAACTTTTCGAGGGATCCGTGTGCACCAATAAGTCCCTTAAATATATATATATATATAAAGCCTCACTTGATCTGATGCTTATTATTATCCAAGATGTTAGAACAGACATGGAGGATGTCATGAAGAAGATTGCCGAATTAGAGCTGGAACATGCTATAGTACTAGCAACACCTGAGGGGGTTAAACTCTTGAATAAATTGAAAGGTGAACTACTTACCTATAAGAATGAATTAATTAGATTCAAAAAACAGAAATTTGAACATGTCCGGCAAGACTACCAAGACCACCGCGTTTATAGGTGGCTAATGGGTGATAATAGACGCAGACCTAGGCGGCAACGCCAGAGGATTAGACGCCCACAGGTACCTACAATTGATGTTACATCAGGAGATTCTACATCTGAAAATGAAACACAGGGTGATTCCAGTCCTTTTTTAGAAGAACCAACAATGGGGACAACTACGAGAAGTCGGGGCAGAGGCATAGGAGGAGGAGAACACGGAGGGGAAGTAAAGGCAAGAACCCTGTTTCGGGGAAAACCGCCATTACGAAAATAACCCCTATCTTCAATTTGTCGCAGAGATGTTTGACTTCACATGAGATGGAAATACTTAGCAAAGGACTTTCTTTTGTACCCACCGCTACACCGAATCAATTTAAATGGAACACTGAACTTTTTAATTTTGGTAGACAGATGCGTCTTAAAGAATTCTTCCACCACGCTGAAAAACCGGGAGGTTCTTCTCCCACTTCGCTATATGAATCCCGATTCAAGGTCAAGTCTAAATTTGATCCGTATACTAACAAGGCATCAATTAAAGCATATCTGTCCGCTGTTGACAAGCTTGCACAGGAGGTGATCAGCACTCATAGATGCAAACATAAAAATATTACAGCACGTCAATTACAAGGCATTAAGAGTCTAGCCGACGATAATTCTATTACCATTCGGCCTGCCGACAGGGGGGGCGGGATCGTAATTATGGATTATATTAATTACTCAGATGAAATCCACCAACAGCTAGAAAATACTACAACTTACCAGCTGTTACCGGGTGTCCATACGGATAAGATAAAAAAGAAGGTGGAAGCTGCTCTACACAAAGGAGTAGAATCGGGTTGGATTAATATCCAGTTGCGTGAATATCTTTTAAAACACCATCCCCGTATACCGGTCTTATACACAATACTGAAGATCCATAAAGACCCGGTTAAACCCCCAGGAAGACCTATCGTTTTCGGCTATTGATGGTCTACTCGAACCAATAGCCAAATGGCTTGACTCACTATTTCAAGCTCCGGTAATGGAACTTAAGACCTGCATTAAAGATACGCCCAGTTTAATTGATGCATTGAATCAACTTTGCCTGAAGCAAGGGGTCACAACACTCATTACGATGGATGTGGGTAGCCTCTATACCGTGATTCCTCATGAACAAGGGATAGAGGCTATGAAGACCATACTTAGTTCTTCTACAGCATATGAAGGCCCGCCCATTGAGTTTGTGCTTGAATTACTCTCTTTGGTTTTAAATAACAACTATTTTCGCTTTGAAGAGAAATGGTACCTTCAGATCTCCGGTACATCGATGGGGGCCGCTATGGCCCCTATGTATGCGAATGCATATATGTATATATATGAACAACGCCACATTCTATCGAAGTATGGCCAATATATCCAGGGATATTTCCGCTATATTGACGATTTGCTCCTTCTATGGAGCGGTAGCACCATAGAGGCTATGGATATGGTACAGGCACTTAATCAGATAGATAGCCCCATCAAGTTTACGTCTAACATCAGTTCTACAGCGGTACAATTACTGGATTTAGAAATAGCCATTACAAATCAGGGCTTATCATATTGTCTTTATGGGAAACCTACTGACAGGAATACCATTCTACATAACACCAGCGCACACCCGGTGGCATTGAAGAGGTCTTTACCTAAAGCCCAGTTTTTGAGAGTGATTCGGAATAACTCAGATATTAACATCATGGAGAAACAACTTGAAGAAATGGTGGAGAGATTTCTTGAGTGTGGCTACCGATGAAATGACCTAGTGAGAGCATTAGAAGAAGCTAAGTCAGCCAATTCTCCTAGAGCCAAAGAAGGAGCCCCAAGACTGGTCTTTCCAATTACTTACCATGATGCATCCCAGGAAGTTAGAAGGATCATTAAAGACAATTGGAAAATGTTGTCATGTGACGACACACTTCCTAAAGTTTTTAAGGAACCTCCCCTTGTGTGTTATCGCAAGAATAAGAATATTACGGGACTTGTTGGTGCACACAGATCCCTCGAAAAGTTATGAGAAGAGCACCGCGATGCAGCCTCGGGGGAGTGTCCGATGCCTTGGATGTGTGACTTGTGGGCACATGACACCTTCACGTACTTTCCATCATCCACACAGCAATTAGGTATTTCAAATACGACATACGATCACTTGTAAGACCTCATATGTGATTTATAAGTTGTCATGTCCGTGTGGCCTTTCATATATAGGCAAGACGGAAACCCCTCTGTGTGAGAGAATCAGGGACACAGGTCTAGTATCAGGGTAGCCTACCGTGATGGTACCTCTGATCAACCTGTAGCCAAACATTTTCTTTCTTTGCAACATCCTCTACCAGCCCTTATATTTTTAGCTATTGACCATATCCCTCCACTTAAGCGTGGTGGGGATAGGGGTAAGCTTCTCTTGAATCAAGAGACTTTTTGGATTTATACATTAGGCACTATAGCCCCTAAAGGCTTGAACGAAATTATTTCATATCACTCTTTCATTTAACTTGCTGCTTTTATTGTTGTTTATGACTATAGTTAGCATTGTATATGTATATATCTTTATAGATGTATTCATTCCATGTTTTATTTTAGCTTTGTGGAAGTTGTAACTGCAGAGCTGCCCGCCACTTTTAATGGCTATTTTTCAATAGCCGTAACTTACCAGCCCCTTTATACCCACGCAATATTTAATTGGCCAGTTGGGCCTTATGAATTACACGCACTTTATATTGATTAATTATCTATGGGCAGAGATTATAATATATTTCAGCCTCTGTTTACTTGGCACTATTTGCACATTCACACTGCCCGGTCTTATTCACCATATTCAATGTTTCTTCATTGTTGACCCCAATATGTATATGTGTAATATGATATTACACATATTTTCGTAATTTGTATATAACTTTGATATGCTTGTGTAGTGGTCAGCGACTTATAGTTTCACTTTATTATTGTTTGGCTTTTCGCCCGGCGCGGCGGCTCCCGGTTTCCCCGGAGACCCGGCATTTGTTCCGGTCTCGTTGACAACGGACGTTGCGTGTCCGCGCCGACGTTGGGCGGGGCTTATATTAATACACACACCGCCCTTTTGAGGATGGATAGAATTGATGATTCTTGTATTCACCACATCTTAGCACCTTATACTTTACCGCTTTTTTTAGCGGATGCACATGATTTTGCTGCCGCGACGGACCGGTCTTGTGTCTGGTCGCCGTGGCAACATGCGTGGTGTAATCACGTTGCCGGAGGGCGGGGCTTGGCCGCGCATGCGCGCGGGAGTTTTGGGGACGCCGGCAGCTCTTGCAGCTATACACTGGTAGGTAGAATTTTCTTTTTTGTATATACTTGTTGATGATGTTAATTCCTGGAATGTAGTTTATAATTATGCTAATTTCTCTAATTACTAATTATGTTAATTGCCCTACCTTTTTATGGATGGGAATTGTGAGAAATCATTGTTGTTCCTGATGAAAGTCCCAGAGGAGGACTGAAACGTTGAGCTGTCAACAATCTTTTTTATTTTTCATTAAACTTTGGATGTTTTAACTTAACAATGAATACGTGAGTGCTGGTCACCTCTGCTATGTGGATAAAGAGATATATATATATATAATTTTTTTTTAAATATTGTTATTTATATAGGTATATATTTATGTATATAAATATATATATATATTTTGTTCTACGTGTATTTTTATATAAATATATATATTTATATCATAATACAGTTAGAACGAAATAACATACATCTATATATTTTTAATTTATTTTTTTCATTTTATTTTTTAACATATTAACTTTTTTTTATATTAGATATAAATATATATATATATATATATATAACAATAATTATATATATTTAATCAGTATCAGTCTACGTGTAATTTATTTTATATATATATATATATTTTAATAGTAAAATACACCTAGACAGTGTGTGTATGTATATGTGTGTGTATATACACACACACATATATACACACACATATATATATATATATATATATATATATATATATATATATATATATTTTTTAACACTTTATTAACATTTATTTTATTTGAATTCAGCCAGCAGGGGGACTACCTGTCATTACAGGCAGTCCCCCTGCTGGCAATACAGCAGCCAGCTAACCCGGTCATGTGATTGTGAGGTCCTCGCAAGGACCTCACTCTCACATGGCCGGGGGGGCTGCAGGAGGTCGGATGTGCCGCGGGGGGCTCCCTGGGAGTCCCCCCAACCGCGATCGCCGGCGACCGGGTAAGTTAAAAAAACCGGAGGGCATACTATTACGCCTGGCGGCGTGTAGAGCCGCCTAAAATAGGACGTAATAGTACGCCCTCCGGTGTTAAGAGGTTAAAAAAAGAACCAAACAACTATGTGATAATAAATAGCTTCATATGATCACTATCCTTCAATAAAATAAATTGTTTTGTATGATCAGTCATATTTTCAAAATAAATGCAAAAATTTCACAATTTCTGCAAGGGTATGGCAAACTTTGAGAACAACTGTAATTAAAACACCTATTAACTTTAACCGAATGCTGGATTCCATGTATCTAATAAACTAATAAGTAACATTCCCTAGAATTGTTGTACATTTCAGTGGTCTTTTTCTGTCTGCATCGGCAGTAGTGTGTCTTCAAGCTTACCATTCTGTGATGGTTTAGACTCAATCTTCTACTTAAAAATAAATAAATAGGTATCACTAACTTCCATATTGATTGACCATAATTTACTAATGCCTAAGCTCCAAGTGTTGGCTCGACAAATCCCAGGCGCCAGCTGTCAATGGTGACCAAGAATTTTGTCAATAGGACTGAGGAGGAGTGGAGGCAGGCAACTGGCTGTAAGGAATGGAGGCAGTAAAGAAGCTGTAATCTTCCTACTCACATCCCTCGCGCACACTGCAGTGATGCTGATAACTGGAATATGACATCACTCCATGCCCCGACCTCGCTAAACAGTGTGCAAGAGAGCAAGAAGATGACCAGAGCAGCTACACTGAACCCCAGGGAAAGGATAAAAATATAAATTTTATAAAAATAATTAAAAAAAAATATTTTTGTGAGTGTGTGAGAGAATGTCTGTCTGTCAGTGTGTGTGTGTGTCCCTACCCCCTAAATTGCATGGGAATGGTGTTTTTACGCTCGTTTTTTCCTCCATACTGTGCCAGTCTCGCCATGGCTAAGATAATCAAGTTTGATGATCTCAGCAAAACCAATTTGTTTCCAGTAGAAAACAATTGTCAGGGTAGTGCGCATACGTGGCAAAACGCTGTGTCAATCAGCATCTCCTTATAGAAATGCATTGAATCAATGCCTCCCTGTGGGGAACGTTCAGCGCTTCTATGCAGAGCGTGGAGACGCTGAATGTAGGTGGCTACACACTGTGCAGCACAGAGAAAAGAAACAATTTACTGGCCGTCTGCATGACTGCCACTAGAGGTGTTACTAGGCAGCAATGTAAACACTGCCTTTTCTGTTAAAAGGCAGTGTTTACATTGAAAAGCCTGCAGGGACACGCTATAGACATCAGTACCGCTTCATTAAGTTGTAGTCGTTCTTGTATAGTGTCGCTTTAAGAATTTTTTTTTTGTCATTGAAAATAATGCTTTGTTAATTAAAAAAAAACTGGCTTCTAACTTTTTAATCGTACATTAAAAGCAAATTTGTCAAGCCCTACTTGAAGTGTTCTATGCATTCATTTAATGTAACGATTTCTTTTGTGTATCAAGTCATACATATTCTGATTCCTACTTATAATTGGCCTCTCCCTATTATCTACAGATATTTTCTAAGTATCACCCAATTGTAACCTATTGTTTTCTCCCTTGTCTTCTCTGCTTTTTTAGTTTAAAGTCTATATTAAAATGTGTATAAAAAGTCTACTTCTCAAATTAACCACAAAGACTTACGTGTAATGCAGTGCTCCACCACAACACGTCCAGGTTTCCAGGTTTTTGGTATAGTTTTCATTCGAGTACTGCACATTATGTTCTATCACACAACTACTAAAGTGAATCTCCAAGCCATATAAGAGATTATATATTCTAGCCAAGTGGATATAAAAAGCAAATGGATAGCCTTTTATTCTGTGCATAATGCATATACATTTTGATCAGTTATTAATAGGTTTAATTTTGACTTCTTGAAGTAACAGCCCATAATAATTATTGGGTAAAAAAAAAAAAAAAATCTTGAAAGGCTCTATATTGTTAATAGAAATTAGGATAAAATTTCTAAGTACAGGGGCTTAAATTATTAAATAGCATTTAATTGGGTTTATTGCAAACATATAGAGTAAATATTCAAAACAGGAATTGATTTTGTGCTTATCTCAGTTTCATTATACTTGTATCTTTACTAAGAAACCAGTTCCATTATAATGTATGCCAAAGCAATTAAAATAGATAGCTTGATGCTGCATTTTTCACTTGCATTGGTATGTCAACTAAAAGTGATAACGGTCAAATGAAGACAACTACATTTCAGAATATTGTGTGTGCATTAGCTAGTTTAATACATACACTAACATTGACTAACTTAAGCTAGTATATTTTATTTATAAAATTGTTACAAATCTTCAAAACAAGTCTATTTAGCAAATATAGCAACAATGCTACTGTTTCTATTGTACAATTTCCGGTAGAAAAAGGATTAGTTGCAGAAATATGCACCCTAGGATTGTATTTGACACTATTTACAGAGAATACCGATACCATTTCAATGAGATACATTAGAAAAAAGAAAAGCTTAAAATATATATATATATGTATGTATACATGTTATAAGACAGACATTTTGCAGTGTAAAATACACAGTTTGCTTTAACATATAGCTTTTAAGCTATTTAGAATAGCTTCTCTGTGCAGAGAGGCCTGTGCATAAAATGCTTAATAATGGAACAAAGAAATGGCAAATATTCACAAGATGTGAAACAACATACCAAATTCCAACGGTTGATTATTTATACAACACTCTGCAAAAAAATAAATTATAGCTTTGCTATTTCCTATTTATCTTTCCTATGAAAAGCAAATAACTTAGTTATTAAAAATATATATATATAAAAAACAAAACAAACAAAAAAAAAAAAAACACTGAATATCATCTTCATTTCCCCCATTCATTTTTTCAGTGTTTAGAGAGACTGGGCTGAATTACAAAATTTCCAAATCTCTTTGGTGTCCAATTATTTATATTGTGCAGTATAATACACACCCTATTCCTCTGGTTATCCCCATAGACTGCGTACAAAGGTGAGCAACACAAGTTTACGGTTTAACAATACCAATCATCTACAATGACATTTTATATCTCTGCATTCTGAAACTGAACAGATAAAATAAATAATTAAAAATAATATATATACAGTTCAAGTTGACAATCTTGACCCATCTTCATTCACGTGAATCTGATGGTGATTTTCTGATGTTTCATGACCTAGAATTAAGAAAATAAAAAAGGAATAAAAAATAAACAATCATCAAGTTAAATAAGTGAATGCTTCCACATAGTTATAAGATTATTACATCCACAGTGAAAAGCATAAAGAATACAGTTGCAATCAAAATTATTTAATCCCCCATAGAAGATTAGGTGTATTGTCAAATGTACAGACTTTCAGCTGTTTGCAATAAATAAATCAAACAAAAGCAATTGAAATAGCTCAACACAACTAACGCTTCAAGTGGTTTTACCAAATTCAACTGAAAATGCAATTTATAATGACTTATCCAGTCTGAACATTATTCAAGCCCTTCATGGCAAGTTTCTTTAGTACTTAGTAGAGCATCCCTTTGCTGTTATGACTTGCTGTGCATGAGATGAACAGCCAGACACGCTTTTAGCAGCATTCCTGTGGAATCTTAGCCCACTGCTCATGAGAAATGGTCTCCAGTTTAGTAATATTCTCGGGTGTGCGTGCTGCAACCACCACCTTCAAATCCCACCAGAATTATTATTTTTTTAATGGGGTTTAAATCAGGTGTCTGTGATGGCTACTGTAGAATTTTCCAATACGTCTTCTGCAACCAAGCCTTGGTGGAATTTGAGGTATGCTTGGGATCGTGGTCTTGTTGGAAGGTCCAATGACACCCAAGCTTCAGCTTCCAGATACATCAATGAATCAATTTTGCCTTCCACACACTGCAGGTTTCCAGTACCAGAGGATACAAAGAAGGCTCAAAGCATCACCGAGCCACCACCTTGCTTAACTGTAGGTAGAGAGTTCATTTCAGTGTATGCTTCATTCTTCTTCTTCCAGACATACCGCTGATCCATTGGCCTGAAAAGTTCCTGTTTAGTTTTATAACTCCAGGAACAGAATTCTAACACTTCGGTGATTGATTTATATGATTTTGAGCATATTGAAGATGATTCTTCTTGTGTTTTGGGTCAGTAGCGGTGTACAACTGGAGTTGTTGCATTGAAATCTATTGCGCTCATGGAAACCTCAGTGCTTGTTGCCACCAAGCCTTGCTGCATGTTTTTTTCAGTCACTAGAGGGTTTTTCACAACCTGTCTTTTCAAACATCTGGTTGCGGCCATTGATGGCTTCCATTTTCTGTCCTGTCCAGGAAGTGTAACCACTGTTCCTTCAACTTTGAATGTACAGACTATGCTTCCAACAGTGTCTGTAGGAATATTTAGCACCTTCGCTATTTTTTAGCATCCTGTTCCTTTTTAAGTAGGGCGATGATCAATTCTCTTAACTTTGTGAACCATTCTTTCGATTTAGCCATATTTCTAACATGCAGTCAAATGTGAGACTCAACAAACCCCTAGCCAGTTCAGGCATTTCAAGTGTTACAGCTCAAGCACACCTGGTGCAACTAATAAAGATTGATTGGTTGCATCAGGTGTGCTTGAGACAACACCTATTTTGCGTATTTGTGCTCTTGTGAGGGATTCTATTCAGGGGTTAAATAATTTTGAGACTAGAGAAGTCATGATACGTTGCATTTTCAGTTGAATTTGTGTAAACCTCTTGTAACATTCAATGTATTAAGCAATTTCAAATGCTTTTGTTTGATTTGTTCATTGCAAAGAGCTCAAAGTCTGTAAAAAAGAATTTTTGGTAAATCTTTATTTTTGTTAGTTGAAGAAGGTAGAAGCATATGGGGTATCAGAAGGACAGATAATGTAGGGGGTAACCCTTAAAGCTAAATTCAGAACAAGAGAGAGATAATCTGTCCGATGGCCAAAGTTGCATTTAAAAAATTACTTTTAATAGAATTGTTAAAAAAGCTAGTAAGAATAAAACTAGCTCAAGTGAATAACCTAAAGTGAAGTGAACCCCAATAATGGGGAGATTGGGGGGGTGGGGGGGGGAGGGAGTTTAGAGCTATTAGCTGATAAAGATACCAATTACTATGTTGAAAAAGCTTCCCTGATTTAGTCTCATTGGGACAAAGTATCGAAGTTACCAGGTCAGGTATAAAAAACCTGAAGGTGTCAGAATTATGTATTACTGTAGCAAGGTTACTGAAAGTATATACAGTAATTAAGTAAGATACATTAGCCCAAAAGGTGGGGGGAGAACCACTAACAATGATATTTGCAAGAAAAAACAATAATAATAACTAAAGATGATAATAGTAGAAAGATATGCCAATAAAACCCAGAGAGAAAATAAGCCTTAATAGCTAGGTAACTTCGATACTTTGTCCCAATGAGACTAAATCAGGGAAGCTTTTGCAACATAGTAATTGGTATCTTTATCAGCTACTAGCTCTTACTTCTGTGGAAAGAACATCCTAGTTTTTTTTATTGCCCACTCTTGACAATTATTAGCCGATAATCCTTGTGTATATATTTCACCACCTTTACTCTTTGTATACTAACTGCCCCCCAACTCCCAATCATTGGGGTTCACTTCACTTTAGGTTATTCACTTGAGCTATTTTTAGTCTTACTAGCTGTTTAACAATTGTATTAAAAGTTATTTTTTAACTGCAACTTTGGCCATCGGACAGATTATCTCTCTCTTTATTTTTGTTCTGCACAAGAGAACAAAGTCTTGCAATGCCACGATAGCATGTACAAGAACATCAGATAACACTTTGCATAATGTCATATACATTCAAGAATGTTGCGTTATATGGCATTTTGGTGGTACCGCACAATTTTATAATGTAACAGATATCAGGCTAGGTAAACACTTCTGAGTGCACAGTGTTGTGAAGTAAATTGAGCTAACGTAGCTGGCTTTTCCGATTGGTCTAGCTATTGGATATAAAGCAGGCCAATCCATACTGTCCTAGGTAAACAAGTCAAATGTAGATCAGAGCTGCAGATATGTATGACTAGTTAGGCATGTAGGCACAAGACAAGATAAACTAGTAACTGTGCTAAACTGTGCATTTCAGGAGTAACTGTAATACTAACAAAATATATAGTCCCCATACCCCCGCACGCTACCGAGGCTACCACTTAACCCCTTAAGGACCAAACTTCTGGAATAAAAGGGAATCAGGACATGTCATGTGTCCTTAAGGGGTTAAAGTGAGCCCTGTGTAGATCCTCTATGCCACAGCTGCACTGCACCTTTTATACATATAAAGAAAAATAATAATAAGAACTCAACGTTAAAATAGTGTAAGGATAGAGAATTAATGGCATAGGAACGTGGGATGGTGGCATAGGCCCAGTAGATAACAGCCGAGCGTAGCTGGGGACCAGTCCTGCAAAGTGAGTCCAGACTCAGCCAACACCAGTACTCGGGAGCCTGTAGAAACAGCTGTGGAGGGGTGTCAGCCAGGTGCAGAGATCAGCTTCCCTCCTGACCCAGGCCCTGATGAGAGCACGCATCTCCGATCCATGGACTCAGGAGCTCATGTTAGAGTCCAAATCCTTCCCAGAATGGGGATAGCAGAAGCTCCGGGTGTTTCTTCACTACCTGCAGCGTTGGGGCTTCAGCCTCTGTGGACGATGCCGAGGGAGTACCTCCCTTAGGGCTCTCAGGACAGATGGGCCAGTGTATGCAGGTACAAGCTGTCGCATAGTAGTTTTGCCCAGAGAGGGCCTGCCTACTCCCTGCTCATCTCCTCTCCGCTTATCACTCCAGCCCCGAGCTTTCTCCTCCATAACATAAGCCTCCTATTTTGCACAGAAACAATTGAAAGTTGTGTCGATGTGCTATGTTAGAGTATCCATTGCGCTCTCCCGGGCTGGTGCCGACCACGTGGGCTTCTGCTCGGCAAGCGTGACCGCCATCTTACAGGTTGTTGCTGTGGTTGGTGCCTGCGCCATTATAGCTGCCTGCAGCTGGTCAGGGTATGCAGAGTGGGTCAGTGGGGACCGGGATAACCCCCGATGGTCTGGGGTGAGGTAGCACTCAGTGGGGACCGGGATAACCCCCGATGGTCTGGTGTGAGGTAGCACTATGTGGGGACCACACCTTTAGCCTGTGAACCGGGTGAGTGTCCGTCTCCCCTTGGTTATTATTATCTCCATTTACATTGCATAGTTTCCAACAAGCATAGGCCGCAAGCCTCGAGTTGGGGAGTTCAGCGGAGGAGATCGTCGTGACTGGTGTCCCCAGGTACAGCGTCATTCTGTGAACAGGAAAGATGCAGGCTGCAGTTAATTAGGGTGAGTGGACCGGGAATAGTCCACAATAACTGAAGCCTGAGGTGGGAGCTCTTGCTGAACACGTCTGAGCTGCATGGCAGTCAAGCTCCGACCTGAAAGTCTGTAAATTTTGATTGCAACTGTACATACTTTTATTTCATAAAGTATTAAAATCAGCATTAAATGATAATGATTACACTCAGTGAAACAGAGGTATACTGGTCGATTAGACAAGCCAAGATCAAGGGTTACAGAGGTACACAAGGTCAATAAAATGTACTGTTAGTGGAAATATATAGGAGAGGGAGTGTGTGCATCAATACAGACACAAATGTCAGTGGTGCCATACAATGATGCAAACAGCAAGCATTCATTATCTTGTTACAACACTGTTAAAATTCTCACGTTAATGTGACAGCTTCTCACTGTTGCAATTAATGTAGACTTAATATCTGTATGTGCTTAAACATTTTAATCATCTAAATCAAACATGGTTTATATTTTTGTCCATTAAAAACACTCCAACATTTAATTTTAATGTTTTGTGGCCAGTCAACATTAAAAATGGACATGTATCATTACTGATCAATAGGTTTCAGTTTATTTTCACCGCACACACTGCTCAGTGACATCAAAACCTGCATGGGCATCAGCATATGTATAATGTATGCCAACTGACAGCTCACCATTCCTGATCTCTTCCCAGAAATAGCAGTATTCCCAATTAGCAGAATTAAAGTCCAGCACTTTATCATTAGATATATGAAAAAAAGTTAGCCAGCACCTAGAGACATTGACTTCAAAGTTACTCACCAAGATGAAACACGAACTTGTAAATCCAGTTCCTGGATTTTTCTGATGAACGTGTCCACATCAAACACAAGAATTCCTTTATGCTCCAACTCCTCTGCCACAGAGCTCGGTTTGTCTGAACAGAAAGACCAAAGATATTACTATACAAGCAATGGGAAACATGGGATGGGCTTCACAGAAACTATTTGCTCTAGGTTTTTGTTCTTCTATTAAAATTACATGATCACATTTTTTCCTTTAAAAAAAAAAAAAAAAGAAAAAAAGGAAAACACCCTGCAGCTTATCTCCAGGAGTAAAATGAGGCACATAGAAAAATACACTGTAACATACCAATTAACTTTACTAAACCCAAAGCAAGATGTCATGAGATAAGTAGAAAATATTCCAGAACTTCCAAATCATTTGTGGTTAGGAGTTCTGAAATACTGCATTTAGATTTAGAATTTAGTATAACCTAATAGTTATTGGGTTTGTTTTTTTGGTTTTTTGTAAACCCATAAAACGGAAGCAAGTGTACACATTCTGATCAAAACAAAATCAAGGCAAACCCTAGAATTTGACTATGTCTGTTCATCCATAATTCACCTCTATCATATTAAGTGCACCCACACTTCCATCATTTTGTTCAGTAGAAATATGGCTTTCATTTCACATCAAATATTTATATCCGAAACATAATTTCATCGGAATAAAAACTAGTTTTTATTGAGTGAGAAATTAAGAAATTGTCTTAGTTCTGTGTGGCATTTTAACAGAGACTGTCATAATACTGCTAGCTTTTAGCAGTTTGTGTTCAGCAATGTCTCATGAGTACAATGGTGTACTCCCATGTACAGGTTTTATGGGATTTTACAGTTTTTACACTTTGGATTTTGCCAGATTGTCTATGTTGCATTTCAGACCATATGGCAGACCAGGAATGGAAATTACCCCCATCATGGCATACCATTTGGAAAAGTAGACTCCACTCTTTCTTAGTAGCCACTTAGTCACAAACAATGGCATTAATATTTTTTGCATGTCTCACAAATAAACTGCCCTTTTCATTATAGTTTTAGTTTTTCTAAAATACTCATATTTGTGTTCAGTAATGTCTCGCAAATACAACTGTACCCCCAATGTCCAGGTTTTAATTTTCCAGGTGTTTTGGACAGTTAGAGGGTCAAAAATAAGACTTGCCCATTTCCGCTTTTGCTCATTGCCAGATTGGTTATGGTGCCATTGAGAATTACCCCCATCATGGCATACCATTTGAAGAAACAGACAACCCAGTGTATTCAAAATGGGGTATGATAGGGGGGTGGGGTGGAGCCGGACCGCCATGCTAGCTGGCCACATGTCAGCACGGCTCCTGTAATCTATGGCGTTTACTCAAAAAAAACCTTCTATATAAACTCATTCAAAGCCAGGAAAGTAACAATACAAGAGACTATTGTGGCTACAAATTTCCCATAAAACTGGTGCCTTGGAGCTTCTAAGAAGAACTGCAGATTCAGCGGCCTCCCAGAGTTTAGAGCAGAGTGGACGGCTGCCATTTTTCTCTTATGCATGAGTGCTGTGCAGTGGCGCTTTGAATACGGTCTCCTAAATAAAAGAGTGCATACTAATTGCTCCCCTATCATGGCAGTTCTATGGGGAAAAGAGCATCAGAATCGTCCAAAGTTAAGTCGACAAAAAGGACCCAATGTGAGGCCATCTCCGGATATTATGCAATTCATTGGGCAGGGTGTCTCACAAGGGATTAAGATATCGAATCTTACAGAGACATGGCTTCTTCTTCAGAGTAGGAAGTACAACCTGTCCTGGAGTTTATTGAACCAGCTAAAGTGGATTATCTAATTTCTAGGGTCCGCAAGGATTTGAGCTTAAAAGAAGCTAATAAGGAGGAACCGTCTACTTCCAGCCGCTTCTTCTTAGGCCTCAGAAAGAAGAGGGCTTCATTTCCAGTTCATGACACCATAAAAGACTTAAATACAGATGCACGGTTCAATTTTGAAAATAAATTCTCAATGGGGATCTGTCCTATATGCCGTAAGGTCTCTGAGACATGGTATTCTGCTCTCAAAGTAGATGCTGCAGTTGAAAGGCAGGCTAAGCGCAGTACTCTTTCTGTAGACAATGCAGGTTCCTTTAAAGATCCTATGGACAGAAAGATGGATGCTAATCGGTCAAGAGCTTAACAGCAGGTACAGGACTTCACCCTGCAGTAGCACTTACATCGGTAACACGAGCATTAAAGCTATGGATGGATAATCTAGAGGAAGAGATGGCAAAAACAGATCTTCTATGATAAACAGCCTTAAGGACATTAAGCTGGCATTGGATTTTTCTTCTGAAGCAGCTGTGGATATAGTTAGAACCTTATCTAGAAACTCAGATTTATCTGTCCTTAGATCATGGTCTGCAGATTCCTCCTCTAAGAATAGCTTGTGCGCTCTGCCCTGCCCCTCTGTCCATGGAGATATATTTGGAAAGAACCTGGACAAATGTAGCAGCAGAGGGCAGAAAATCATTCTTAACCCAGGATAGGAGAACCAAGCTCCCCTTCCACAACAAAAGATCTTCAGAAGGTTTTTCCTATCAAGACAAAAGATCATACAGACCTGGAAGAGAATACGGGAGATCCCAAGCTTGGAGAAGTAGTCAATTTGGATACAGAGGAGGAAGATCTAGAGGTACAATCTCTTTCAAGAACCCCAGAAGCTTATGATTGGGTTCTCTTCCAGTCAGGAGGACTAGGGGAACACCTGCTCCAAGTACCCAGAGCATTTCATTGAGATGAAGTTGTCTGCTGCCCTCTCCCCTCCCCCACCCCTCTATTTTAACCCTGCAATGAAAACATTGCTTTTCTGTAGTTATGGCAATATTTATTTTGCAGGTTTAACTTTCCTCGGTCATACTGACAGATACGGGATGCTCTAGTGTTCCTTTAATTATTGAAAAACACTGCCAGAATATATTAAATTACATGATTAGAGAAGATTACTGTGTAACACAAAGATAATCAGTAACATTACCTGTCAAATACACTGCCAGCCTTGACAGGATATGCTGACTCTGGAGGTTTACCACACATGTATGATCATCTGTCTGGGCCTTTGACCTTGAGTCACACTGGTGATAGGGCAGAATTTCAACTATGTTAATTTCCTGGTATGATTTGAGTAGTGCGATCTTCGAGTGAGACGCAGAATCAACTCTAAAAAAAATAAAAATAATAAAAATATAAAACAATAACCACTCAGCTTAAATATATTATACTTGATAGAAATGAACTTGTGCAGTAGCAAATATATAAATCTTTGAGCTATTTTATTAAAACTGCTTTAATAAGTGCCAATTTTTATTAAAAACACGTCTCAGTTGGGAATGATTCTTATTAAAGTTAAAAATTAATGGAATTGTATCCTTATCCTTATCTTCTTTCTTTCTTTTGTTGATATTCTGATAAATGTTCTCTATTTAATTCTCCAATTTCCTGAATAGTCCTGTTTAGGGCTCCCTCCTCATAGCCCTTTTCCAAAAATAGTTTTTTGAGTGAAGCAGCTTGGAGGTTGTATTTATCTTTTTCTTAGGAACTGTCCCATTGGAATGCTATCCAACCAGGGACGAAAGTGACAACTTTCCTTCTCAATAAAACTATTTACCATCAACTTGTTTGAAAAATGTACATGTCTCAATCCTATTGTCTTTAATATAAATATTGAGGTCTAAAAAAATCTATTTTCTCGCTACTAATTTTTTGGGTAAGTTTAATATTCCACTGGTTGGCATTAAGATAAATTAAAAAATCTAAAACTGATGCTTCACTCCCTTTCCAAATAAAAAAAGATATCATCGATATATCTTCTATATAGGACCAGCCTCACTACCTAGTCATGCTGGGAGAAAATGTGCTTTTCCTCCCAGTGGGCCATAAATAAATTTGCATAACTGGGGGCGAACCTGGTCCCCATAGGTGTGCCTCTACATTGCAGATACAAATCCCCCTCAAAAGAAAAAATTATATTATTTAAAATTAGTTGAATAGATTCCAAGATAAAATCAACTTGGTCCTTATGATATATTTCGGAGGTCTGTAGGAAATGTCTCACTGCCTCACAACCTCTTTCGTGTTGGATGCATGTATAATGACTAGTTACGTCACACGTAACCAATAAAAAGTTCTCTTCCCATTTCATATTTTTTAAAACTTTTCCTACAGACCTCCGAAATATATCATAAGGACCAAATTGATTTTATCTTGGAATCTATTCAACTAATTTTAAATAATATTTTTTTTTGGTTTGAGGGGGATTTTTATCTGCAATGTAGAGGCACACCTATAGGTACCAGGTTCGCTCCCAGTTATGCAAATTTATTTATGGCCCACTGGGAGGAAAATCACATTTTCTCCCAGCATGACTGGGTAGCGAGCCTGGTCCTATATAGAAGATATATCGATGATATCTTTTTTTATTTGGAAAGGGAATGAAGCATCCGTTTTAGATTTTTTAACTTATCTTAATGCCAACCAGTGGAATATTAAACTTACCCAAAACGTTATTAGCGAAAAAATAGATTTTTTAGACCTCAATATTTATATTAAAGACAATAGGATTGAGACATGTACATTTTTCAAACAAGTTGATGTAAATAGTTTTATTGAGAAGGAAAGTTGTCACTTTCGTCCCTGGTTGGATAACATTCCAATGGGACAGTTCCTAAGACTTAGAAGGAACTGTTCAGAAAAAGATAAATACAGCCTCCAAGCTGCTTCACTCAAAAAACTATTTTTGGAAAATGAGGAGGAAGCCCTAAACAGGACTCTTCAGGAAATTGGAGAATTAAATAGAAAAGATTTATTAGAAGAGCAACAAAAGAAAGAAGATAAAGATAAGGATAAGGATACAATTCCATTAATTTTTAACTTTAATAAGAATCATTCCCAACTGTGATGTGTTTTTAATAAAAATTGGCACTTATTAAAGCAGGATGAAGACATTGCACCTTATGTAGGATATAAACCTAAAATTATATTTAGAGGAGCCCAAAACTTTAAACAAATTTTAACATCCAGTTTTATTGAAAAAACGGACAAGAATTGTATAACTAGTCAAAAAAGTTTATTTAAAGGTTTTAATTATTGTGGGAATTGCATGGGATGCAGAACAGTACAAATAAAAGAAAAAAAAGATCCTGTCTTTTCAGTCTAATACTAATTCAAAAGAATATAAAATAGGTAAATTTATCACGTGTAAGACCAAAAATGTTGTGTATGTGCTCAAGTGTCCTTGTGGCTTACAATTTGTGGGCAAAACAACATGTAGATGTGTGGCCACGAGGGTGCGAGAGCATATACACAACATTAAAAGAGGTTTTAAAAACCATAGTGTTTCTTTACACTTTTTAGAACAACATAACAGGGACCCTGGTGGAATGAAATTGTATGGGATTCAGACTGTAACTAGACATTGGAGAGGGGGAGATATTAATTCAACCCTGAGCAAGTGTGAAATGGGTTGGATATTTAATTTGGATACACTATCTCCCAATGGACTTAATATGGAATTTGAGATGAGTTTATTAATCTAATGAAAGTCTTCTAAAAATAAGTATTTTTTATTCAAATAGAGTTTATCTTTGGGCTGAACATATATATGAACATATTATATTAACGGTCTCCCCCCTCTTTTTCAGATTTATTCTCCCCCTTCATTTGTCAGAATTAATATTTTTATATTGCACTTGCCATATATCTGTTATTAAATATATGTTGGACAATATAGAAGATAATGAGATTGTTGAATTTGGTTATTTGGTTAGTAATATGTTAAGATCTACAATTGGAAAGTATATATGTACATGTTATTGTAAACAAAGTCTAACTAATTGTAAATTAGGATGCCAGGATGTTTTTTAAATGTTACACTGAGTCCGGGACTTTTAAATATGGCGATCCTGACTTCGTGGCACCTCTTATACTACTTCAGGTATCGGAAGAATGCGTCTGACGTCAGACGCAACTTGACGCAAATGTGGGCGGAGATAAGGGAATCCATCCGGCGGAAACAGGAAAGTGAGGACGATAACGAAATGAGGAAAAAGGCGCCAAATTTGAATACCCGAATGGTATATAAACAAGGAAGTCGGACAGATGATTTATGCACTTTGAGAAAGACTATATGAGTCAAAACGCGTCAGTGCTGCTATTAATTATTTTTCACTTTATGCTCTTTTTATCATTGTTTTTATTTCTTAGGTCATTAGATTTTACCACATATCCCCATCTCTTTGGCGTTATTTTACCTGCTGTATCAGATTGTATCCTGGCACCAGTGGCTATATCCTGAAGAGTGGTGGAGTGGAGACATTAAGAAAGGGATTCTCTTAAGAACCTGAATAGTCAAAGCCTACTATATGTGGCTCTGCAAAGTGTGAGTGAACCAACTATATTAATTTCTGTTTATTTATGTAAAAAAACAGTATTATGCTATGTATATGGTTTTCTTCACTTCGGTGGAATCCAAATGATGGAGCTTGAACACTGAAGCGAACGGACGCAAGCTAAGGGAGCTCCGAGCCTTAAAGTGAGAAAAACGCATGAAACCACCCCCCCCTTAACATCCCAATTGACAGGCAAACAACCCAAGACCTAATGGGGAAGAAAACGATACCACACAAGTCCACCTCGGGACTTACAATAGGGGAGATGTGGATGCAAGCAAGTGGAGCCTCCGAAACAAACATGACGGCTCAGCACAGTGGGTGCTCGGATTTCTCAGAGGACATATCCGATGAGGAAGAGGGGGGACTCTCACAGCCTCCTAACCCAACACAAAAGGCACAACAAGGCGGCAAAGGGTCAGACACAGAGCCGATCATCAAATCGGTCCTGAAGGCATTACTGGCGGACCTGAAATGCAGCTTCCATGAGGATGTCACAGCGCTCCGCGCAGACTTGAAAGGCCTGACAGGTTGCATCTCCAAACTGGAGGGCTCCTCACAATCCCAGGCCCAGGAGGTCGCTGCAGTACAACACATCATACAAGCCCTGGAACAGCAGACCCAGCAATATGAACATCGCCTCGCGGCGCTCGAGGACGCCATGCGGGCTTCCAACATTAAAATCATGGGAGTCCGTGAGGACATTAGAGGCCGAACTGCCTAAACTAATGGAGCGGATGTTACTAGAAATACTGCCATGAAGACAGAAATCAACACTCACCCCAGAAAGGGTCTTCAGAGTCCCTAAACCAACAAACGCACCAACCACGGCCACGAGAGATGTCATCCTGACCCTCCGCAATAGCGGACATAAGGTGGCGATCCTGTCGGCCCTCCGAGGCAGGACCCCCTTCCGCTTCGAAAACATGGACCTCTCACTCTACACAGACCTGTCCAGCGGCACCCTGGCCTGGCGTAGGTCGCTACGGCCACTCACCTTAATTCTTCGTGCCCGCAAGATTGATTACCGCTGGCGGTCCCCCAGAGCATTGACAGTCCAGCGAGGATTGAACTTGCATAACATTCAGGACATTCGGGACGCCCTGGCCTTCCTCCGGCTCCTGGACCTACCTCAAGAATTGCTGTCCACGGCAAGACTGGCCAACAAGGATAACAACAGCTCCCCTAACCGCACCCATACCTGGGACCCAGATCGGATCGCCCCGTTCATCCCCCAAAACTCTACGCCGGACACATATTCAGCAATCACGACATAGAGGCACAGAGATACTCACCTGTCAGAGTCTTGGATCCGCCGCCTGGCTTCGGTAAGGACACAGTACACAACCTGCGACCCACTGACACTCTGACAGCTGCCGAGCTACCTCGAACCAGGACTGGCACAGCCGGACAGGACACCGGAGACCTGATAACACAGACCAAAGCCCCCTAATACCAACGAAGATCCCCCCGCTCCCGGGCAACCCTGTGTTCCTGCCCCAACTGTGCTAGGTGGACAGACTCAGGCCGGAAATACGGAGACTATTTTTACTTTTACAATTACTTAGAAAAGGGGAAAGGAAAACGAAGAAAAAAGAAGAAAAAGGATTATTTTATCTTTATTTTTAGTTTATTTCTTTTCTGCTTTTAATCCCGAGACCCACCAGAAATGCTCAACTTGCTCTTATGTTTAGACCGCTTTTAAGGGCAACAAGCATTAGACCTCACATAAATATATAGCCTGAACATGTCTAATCATATTTGTACCAATGTGTGTTTGTTTGGCCAGCCTGCCTCTGGTCACCCTCTCTTGTACCCATTGAGGCTTCCAAGACCAGAGTACTCAAACATGTGTATATTAGCACCCAAATCAACAATTTGCATGTAGTAATTATATAGCCTGTAAGCCTACTGCAATACTCTACCGATAGCCACGTATGACACACAACGTGGGTGACCTTAGGCAGTATGTTTAAAGATTTTTCTTTTTTCTTCGTTTTTTTACCTGCCAGGCATATCTTGACTCTTAACAACAGAAAGAATATATGCAGTTATAATTATGGCATAGGTATAACAGATTGACCCTCTCAGAATCGCAATGCCATGTATTTGACATAACCTTCAACACATTTGAATTAATCATAAGCCTGTTTCGCTAAGCAAGATTAAAATAATCAATTGATGTTATAAAGCCAGATATTTTCATGTTTTCACAACAAAATGTACTGTTTAACCTGCCTCACTTTAAAGTATTTAAAATACTCTCAACTAAAACAAGAATTTACGCAGTTAGAATTCTGCATAAGTATACATGTTAGACCTTCTCAGAAATGCAATGCCATATATTTAACAATTTTTAAACGTAACAAAACTAACCACAAGACTTCCTAGCTTAGCAAGTTCAAAACAATCTGCTGATGTTACACAGCCAGATACTTCCATGTTTTTTGGGGTTTTTTTTTGTGTTTTGTTCTTCTCTTCAAAAATACGCTGTTTAACCTACCATACGCTAATGTTACTCGTCTTTAACCTTAAAAAAATGTGCACAGTATCTCATGCCATGCAACTGTAATTTTATGTGTCTGAAAACTATGGTAATCGCTGTTGTGGCATTAATAGACTAAATGTTATCTATATCTATGCATGAAAAATAAAGAATAAAAAAAAATAAAAAAAAAATTCATATGTCTTGGAATGTCTTGTGGCCTGCAATACATAGAAAACTAAAAACACTAGAATAGCCAAACATTAGAAAAATATTTTAAAGGGGTTTACCAACTATTGAATGTCTAAACACCTTTTAATTCATAATAAGGATCCCAGCTTTCTAAAAAATTTTGCTGTAGAGAAAGTCACCCCTCTCTGGCGAGGTGGCAACTAAATTAAAAAACTGGGTATACAAGAAATGAAATAGGTTGTTCATTTAAACACTGTAACTCCATATGTTCTTAATATTGATTTTGACCTTTTTAATTTTTGTTTTTATTATTGAGCAAATTAAATTTTTTCCTGTTTTATTCTGAGCATATGTATTTATAATTATCAAGCATATAAGTCACTTTTAGTTGCGTTGTTTTATTCCATGCATTTTATCTCAATTAGTTTCCCCCAAACCCTTGTCCCTAATATTTTAAATATACCGATTTTTAATACTTTAATAATTGGAACCTGGCATCGATGCCTTTTTTGGGGGGTCCAAATTATTATTATGTTATGTTATTTATATAGCGCCAACAAATTCCACAGAGCTTTACAATGGGTGGAAGAACAGACATGTAGTTGTAACCAGACAAGTTGGATACACAGGAACAGAGGGGTTGAAAGCACTACTCAATGTGCTTACATGCTAGAGGGAGTGGGGTAAAGTGACACAAAAGGTAAGGATAGTATTAGACTAATAACATTTGCAACAGAGGAATCAGTCGGGAGCTTTTAACAGTTTAATTAAAATGCTTTTATGAAGAAGTGGGTTTTTAATGATTTTTTGAAGGAGTGGAGACTGGGTGAGCATCTTACGGAGGAGGGAAGTGAGTTCCACAGGAATGGTGCAGCCCTCGAGAAGTCTTGAAGGCGAGCATCAGAGGTGGGAGTACAGACAGAAGATAGACGTAAGTATTCAGCAGAGCGTAAGGGTCTAGACGGGACATACTTGTGTATTACGGAGGATAGATAGGTGGGAGCATCATTATATAGAGATTTGAAAGCAAGAACCACAATTTTAAATTAAGCCTTATATCTTACAGGAAGCCAATGTAGGGACTGACAGAAGGGTGAGGCGTGGGAGGTGCGGGCGGACAGGAAGATGAGCCACGCCGCCGAATTCATTATGGACTGTAATGGTGCAAGTTGGGAACACGTAAGACCACTGAGAAGCGGATTACAGTAGTCAAGGCGAGAAAGGACAGTGGAATGGACCAGCACCTTAGTCACATATGGCGTTAAGTAGGGTCGGACGTGCGTAATGTTTTTGAGATGGAAACGACAGGATTTGGCAATAGACTGAACATGAGGCGTGAAGGAGAGGTCGGAGTCAAAGAACACCTAGGCAGCGAGTCTGCGTGATGGAGCTGATGGTAGCACCGTTGACTTAGAGGGAAACAGAGTAACAACACTTGAGGAAGGAAAGACCAGAATTTCAGTTTTGGTCAAATTGAGTTTAAGGAAGTGGGCAGCCATCCAGTTAGAAATAGAGGCAGTCAGAGACACTGGTCAATAGTGACAGGGAGTGATCAGGAAAGGACAGGTAGATTTGTGTGTCATCCACATATAAATGATATTGGAAGCTAAAGGAGCTAATGAGTTTACCGAGGGAGCCCGTATCTGTTGGCACTCCAACAGAGAAGAGTTGGGAAGAAGAAGCAGAGCCAGAGAAATAAACACTGAAAGAGCGCTGGGAGAGGTAGGAGAAACACCAGGAGAGAGCAATATCTTGTAGGCCGATATTGCGGAGGATGAGTAGAAGCTAATGCTGATCAACAGTGTCAAAAGCTGCAGACAGGTAAAGGAGAATTAGGATAGAGTAGTGACCACGAGATATTGCAGCGAATAGATCACTGTATACTTTGGTCAGTGCTTTTTCACAGAGTGCTTAGCGCGGAAACCAGACTGAAGCAGGTCTAGCAGAGAGTTGGACTTGAGGAATTCTGTCAATCTCGCATACACAACTCTTTCAAGGATTTTGGATGCAAAAGGCAGTAGCGAGATAGGACGGTAGTTGGATGGGGAGTTGGGGTCAAGGTTGGGCTTCTTTAGAATTGGGGTTATAGTTGCATGTTTGAAGGGCGATGGAAATATGCCAGAGGAGAGAGAGATTGAGAATTTTAGTGAGAGTTGGTGAAAGAGAAGACCGAGTACAGATGAGATGCGAGGGAATTGGATCTAGGGAGCGGGTGGTGGGGCGGAGGACTGGAGCAGAGCAGAAACCTCTTCCATTGTTGCGGGTGCAAATGAACATAGAACAGCAGAGGGAGTGGTTAGGGGAAGTATTGTAAGGGGTAGAAGAAAGATGAGAGATCTCTTCCCTGATTGTAGAGATCTTGCCAGTGAAGTGAGTTGCAAAGTCTGAGGCTTTCACGTTAGTAAGTGGAGGAGGAACAATAGGGTGAAGAAGAGAGTTAAATGTGTGAAATAGTCGTTTGGCTTCGCGGGAGAGTGTGGTTATGAGGGTACTGAAGTAATTTACTTTTGCAGAGGAAAGAGGCAAGCTGTATGAGCTCAAGATTAAATTTATAGTGGAGAAAGTCAGACGCACAGTGAGACTTTCTCCAACAGTGTTCAGCAGTTCTGGAGCATTTTGCTTACAAAATGTTTTATCTATATCCCTCCCTAAAACCCTCGATTTGGCTCCTTTTTCCTTTCCCTAGTCCCGCTCTCAAGTACTAACCACTCCCGATTTTGGGCTTTTATTAATTCTTAAGTATGCCACAATCGCATCAGCGGCGATCACGTGATTAAGACGGTGTCGCCATGTTGATTTTTTAAAATTACATCTTTATTTTCCTTAATAAACCTTGTTATTTACGGTTTCATTATGCCAATATGTTCATAAGTTTGTCCTGATGAAATCTCCATGCTGGAGCTGAAACATTGATCTCTTTTATGACCCCTTTAATGGAATAAATAAAAGCTAGGTTTTATTCATCTAATACAAGTCATGGGAATGCGGTTCTTTTTGAGATATATAGATATAGATATATATAGATATAGAGAGGGGGAGAGAGAGAGAGAAATAGAAATATACATATGTATATACAGTATCTCACACAAGTTTTTTGTAAATATTTTATTATATCTTTTCATGTGACAACACTGAAGAAATGATACTCTGCTACAATGTAAAGTAGTAAGTGTACAGCCCGTATAACAGTGTAAATTTGCTGTCCCCTCAAAATAACTCAACACACAGCCATTAATGTCTAAACCGTTGGCAACAAAAGGGAGTACACCCCTAAGTGGAAATGTCCAAATTGGGCCCAATTAACAATTTTCCCTCCCTGGTGTCATGTGACTCGATAGTGTTACAAGGTCTCAGGTGTGAATGGAGAGCAGGTGTGTTAAATTTGTGTTCTCTTTCTCACACTCTCTCATACTGGTCACTGGAAGTTCAAAATGGGACCACACGGCAAACTCTCTGAGGATCTGAAAAAAAAAAATTGTTGCTCTACATAAAGATGGCCTAGGCTATAAGAAGATTGCCTAGACCCTGAAACCAAGCTGCAGCACGGTGGGCAAGACCATACAGCGCTTTCACAGGACAGGTTCCAGTCAGAACAGGCCTTGCTATGTTCGACCAAAGAAGCTGGAGTGCACGTGCTCAGCGTCATATCCATAGGTTGACTTTGGGGAATAGACGTATGAGTGCTGCCAGCATTGCAGCAGAGGTTGAAGGGGTTGGGGGCCAGCCTGTCAGTGCTCACACTGCATCAACTTGGTCTGCATGGCGTCACAGAAGGAAGCCTCTTCTAAAGATGATGCACAAGAAAGTCCTCAAACAGTTTGCTGAAGACATGGATTACTGGAACCATGCCCTGTGGTCCGATGAGACCAAAATAAACTTATTTGGTTCAGTAGTGTCAAGCGCGTGTGGCAGCAACCAGGTGAGGAGTACAAAGATAAGTGTGTCTTCCCTACAGTCAAGCATGATGGTGGGAGTTTCATGGTCTGGGCCTGCATGAGTGCTGTTGGCACTCGGGAGCAACAGTTCATTGAGGGAACCATGAATGCCAACATGTACTGTGACATACTGAAGCAGAGCATTATCCCCTTCCTTCAGAGACTGGGCCTGCAGGGCAGTATTCCAACATGATAAACACACCTCCAAGACGACCACTGCCTTGCTAAAGAAGCTGAAGGTAAAGGTGATGGACTGGCCAAGCATGTCTCCAGACCTAAATTGAGCATCTGTGGGGCATCCTCAAATGAAAGGTGGGGGAGCGCAAGGTCTCCAAAATCCACCAGCTCCGTGATGCCGTCATGGAGGAGTGGAAGAGGACTCCAGTAGCAACCTATGAAGCTCTGGTGAACTCCATGCCCATGAGGGTTAAGGCAGTGCTGGAAAAGTTATTTTGAGGGGACAGCAAATTTACACCGTTATACAGGCTGTACACTTGCTACTTCAGTGTTGTCACATGAAAAGATATAATAAAATATTAAAAAATAATGTGAGGGGTGTACTCACTTTTGTGAGATACTGTATATATACATATATAAATATATACACACATATACATACACACACTATATATATATGTATTAAGGCAATTTGCCTGGATTTCTGGGAGGTGCTGGCTTGCTACCCCTAGCCTACTTAAGGCACTCCCCTTACCTGGCTCCTTACCATTCGAGGTCAGCGTTGAATGAGGATCCACTTCCGGGTTCTCTCAGACGCCATCTTGGGTTCAGTATCCACAAGGTTTTTCACCACGTTAGCGGTGTCCAGGAATCCTGTTCAGGCCTTTCCGCCCGTCCAGCTTCTTCTGACTCCGGTCTTCGTCGTAGATCGCGTCCCAGGGTCTCCTAAACCGTAAGTCAGACCTACCTGTCACGCCAGGACCAGTTCCCACGGCGTACGGTACAGCACGGGTCCTCGCTTTACGGTATTTCCCTGGTTATGTCACAAATGTTTCAAGCCGTTCGCGGGTTTTTTCATTCATACGGTCATTCGGCTGAACAGTTTACTCGTACAATAGTCATTTCGCATAAACTATTCCATGTTACATTGAAACGGATTACCATTCGGTTGTTTTGCCGTTCGGCAATTTTCATATACGCTCAAACACGCTTTCGGTTCGCATAAGTTCATACGGTTAAACAATTAGTTCTAACTTCTGTGTTTCCCTCACATTTGTTTTCGGCTTTATTTCTATGTATTACGCATAATCCTTTCGTGAATTATATTCACCATTTCGTGTGTATATAACATTCGGTTAAGAATTGCTTGTTTAAATAGGTTATTTCTATTACTTTTTAAATGTTTTCAGTATTGTATTATGTCCATACAAACCAAGTCCACTTATCTGTATAGACCATTTTTTGACTCCCACGCTTTCAGGGGCCTCTATTACTTATCCATTCATCCAAATGGACTCAGCCTATGTTACAGGCCTCATTTCTGTGTTATTACTACGACACATACAAAGGATACAGGTTAATTTCAAGCATATAATTCTCAGGTTGAATCACGTACTGATCCAACCAATCATACAATACAATATATCATATACATACATCACCTTACATCACTTTAAGCATTTTTGGGTATCCCTGCCTTTGGTTATTCTACTATATATCATACCTAACGCTGTGTAAAATAGGCCATGACCTCATCCAAGTTCCTTTCTATCAAAACAGCTACATTTCTGTACGGATCATTGAACTCCCACGCCAGGAGTTTTATAATTATCCATTTAATTTCAATTAACTCAGCCTACGTTACAGGCCTAATTTCTCTGTCATGACTATGACACATAAGGCTTAATTCCTTTTCATGCATACTCGGGTTGAATCACACGTACTGATCCAACCAATCATACGTTTCCTGCACAGTAATATATATATATATATATGACCTACATTTCAAGTTTCCCTTACACACCATTATCACATAACACATATGTTGTTTGTACATAGGCCACGGCCTCCCTCAGATGTCTTATTTAAGCATGCAAACATTTCTGAGCCACTCATATCTATTCCCATGGTATCAACATTTTTCCAAACATTGCTGCTACAGGCTATAAGTCTGTTCTTTTCAACAATCCACACTCATCATACTACTCTCAAGCTTATATATATTTGCTCCACACGGTTTATTCCTGTGAATTTGTCATCCTACCAGGTACGTACACCTGCTCATATGGTATTTTACCATACATTTCATTTTGTCCCCCTAGGTTAGAGTACTGGCAATAGGGTTACAGGATTCCCAATAGGTATTTACCCCGTCTTGGCAGTCGCCATCAGTTAGTGGTCCCACGAGGCCAACACCCCGCCTCAAACGTTCCAGAGGCAAACACCCATCGGGCCACACGTTAACTAGCCGCCTCGCATGTTGCATAGAGAGGGCCTCACCTGTCACTCCCTTCCCCTGTTTTCTGTCTTACAGTCACCGAGAGGCCTAAAACTCCTGCCACTACGTCGAGTGGCCTCAATAACCCCTCGCGCCAACGCATAGATAGAGCCTCTCAAGCCGCTTGGCAATTAGCAGGGCCTCACCCTGTCACCAAACAAGTATAATGCTTTCGCCATCCGGCCTAGCTAGCCTGCCAGTACAATTTGGTGGTTTCATATACTAATTAATTGTTTTATTTATAGTATGTCTCAGGAAGGGGTAGAGGATTTCTCCCTGCCTAGCACCCCGGCTAGAGCTGTCACTCCCACACAAGGAGGAGAGCTAGCTAGTCCAGCATCAATCAGATCTTGGACGATCCCGCGTATAACCACGGAATTAAGGAGAGGACAAATCCCCTACCCCGCTACAGCAAGGAAAGCAGAACTTTTCAAACTGCTACGCACATCGACAAGTAACATGGATGCCGGGGAAGGATCTAGCCAGTCCAACCCAGGAGACATACATGCCATGTTATCCTCACTCATGGCGTCCATGAGCAAGGTCAACTCCAGGCAGGAGAAACTTGAGTCGGTCACCACGGCCCTCACTCTAGCAGGGCCACCCGCTGCTGCGGCACAAACACCAGCCTTGCCATTAGTCGCTCCAGCCATCACCCTGGATGACCAGGAAGTTAGCCCGGCCCACATGATACCTGAACACATTAAAAAGGATATCCTGGAAGGTAAAGATGTCAACCTGGCTTCCCTGTTGATTGCCTCCCAGGATATTGTGGAAAATAAGACGTATGCTTATGATGATGTTGTCAGATCTAGGGATGCCCGCCTGAACAGGAAACTGACTATCCCTGAATTTGTACTAGCGTTTGGTATTTACAGGGATGTCATCTGTGCGGTCTATCCCAACAGAAGAGAGGAGTTTGATCTCTATATGCACAAGCTGGTAGACCTGGGGAACAAATATGGTGGTTCAGCCTTCTATGACTACCATAGGTCTTTTTCTGCAAAAGTGTCTGGAGCCTTCTCCCAGTACGGAACACGATCCAACTGGGGAAGGATTGATACCGTCATATTTTGCAGACATTTTGCAGGTCTAAGAACACCAGCTTGTGCATACTGCTCCTCCACAGCCCATACTACAATTTTTTGTCCCAACACGGCGGACGGACATGCCTCCACGCAAGGAGCTAGTTCCTCTGGGGATCCAGGGAAATTGTCAAGAGACAAACTGGGACGCACAATCAAGTTTCTGGGCAAGTCCCAGATATGTAATAATTTCAATGTTGGGTCTTGTAATTACAGTGGATGTAGACTATTACATGTCTGTTCAAAATGTTTTAGGGCACATGCAAAGACCATGTGTCCAAATAAAATGTATTCCAAGCCTTACCTAACGTCCATTAATATGCCAGTATTCACAGCATTTATGTCTCAGCACCCATCTAGACACCTGGTAGACTTTCTTATTTCTGGTTTAACAGAAGGCTTCCACACAGGTATCCTCCACATACCAGCCGGAACTCTAGAATGCCCTAATCTACAATCCGCCCAACACAACCCCACAGCGGTTGACACCCTCATAGCCCAAGAAGTGGATGAGAGCTTCGTATTGGGGCCTTTTAGAACTCCTCCATTCATAGAATGGCGCACCAACCCCATTGGTATTGTCACAGGGAAATCTTCCCAAAAACAGAGACTCATCATTGACTTATCGGCACCCAAGTCTTAATTCCCTTATACTCTCTGAGGAATTCTCTCTGAAATATACCACCATAGATCACGCCATTACAGCTATCATACAAGCAGGGGTTGGAGCCTGGCTCAGTAAGACCGACATTGCTAACGCCTTTAAATTACTCCCAATCCACCCCACACTGTGGCACCTGCATGGCATCAAGTGGTCCGGGAATTACTATTTTTCTCCCGGTTAACTTTTGGGTCCAAAAGTAGCCCAGCTATTTTCGACACATTTGCTGAAGCATTATGCTGGTTACTATTGGACATAGCCAGATACCCTACGGTATTACATTACCTGGACGATTTCCTACTGGTCAAGGAGAATACTTCGCCTCCCACTAGTCTCAAAGCTACCACTAAGCTTTTTGAGCAACTATGTGTACCCATCTCCCCAAAGAAAACAGAGGGGCCAGACACGGTTATCACTTTTCTGGGTATCCAATTAGATTCTGCCACAATGCAAGCAAGCCTACCATACGATAAGATAGAGAATATTCTCACTTACATAAACAACTACCTACAGCTCGGCACTTGCAACCGCAAAGAGCTACAGTCCCTGCTAGGGTCACTAAATTTTGCTATGCACATCATACCTCAAGGCCGCTCCTTTATATCACGACTATTGCATCTTTTCCCACTTTTCCTACATGACACGTACAGGTTGTCCTTAGATGCCCAAGCTATGGCAGATCTAAACATGTGGAAGAGATTTTTAACCACTTGGAATGGTAAAAGTATGTTCCTCCCTCAATTGACTGAATCATCTCCTACCATTTGGTCAGATGCGGCATCTACCACTGGTTTTGCAGCAATTTTTGGGAACGAATGGCTTTGGGGCAGCTGGCCTTCAGCAGTTCAGGATTTGGAAGGTTTTTCCACTACCTCAGCTCTTTTTGAGATCTATCCCATAGTGGCGGCTGCCGTAGCATGGGGTCATTTATGGGCTAATACGCCAGTGCGTTGTTACTCAGACAACCAGGCAACCTGTCACATCATCAACAAAGGTCGTTCCAAATCTCTTACGATCATGAGATTTCTGAGGAAACTCACTTGGTTGGCAGCTTGTCATAATTTCTTCCTATGTTGTTTCCATGTTCCAGGTGTATGTAACACAGCTGCTGACAATTTGTCTCGATTTAAATTTCAGGAGTTTCATCAAGCACTCCCGTCAGCATCGCCCACAGCCACCGTCACTCCAACATTTCTACAACTTATACTGGACTAGACATCATGCAGCATAGCAGGACATTGTCCCAATTGGCGCTTTCAAACAATACAAACAAAACATACAGCAAGGCTTTCACACTATTCAAACGATTCCTTCTGGAACATAACATCATACAACCGTTTGTTATGACATCTTTTTGGGGGTTTGCTTCCTTTTGCCACCTTAAACTCAAAATGTCATACAACACCATCAAACTCTATCTCACTGGCATTCAACACCACATGCTAATCTTACACCCAAATAACAACAGTTTCATGGCCTCTCACCAAATTAAGACCATACTCAGAGGTATTCAGAAATCAGAACCCACACATACAGCCCAGAGGCTACCCATAGATAACCATATCTTCAAAGCATTATTTAACCTGCTTGACACCAATACAAATTCTATCATCAAAACAGCAATATACATTGCTTTCTATGGATTTCTACGACCTAGAGAATTCACTACAACCTCCACGACCCAAACCACTCCGTTCCTCCTCTATTCCCACTTGACAAAACATATGGATCATTACATCCTGACTTTACCTCACTCCAAAACCAGTCAGCACATACCCGTAAACATTCCGTACTATCCCACGCACAACAGATGGTGTCCCGTCAGGGTTCTTGATGCCTACATACAGCACCATAACTTACTGCCCCTGCAACCGTTACTACAACTACAAGATGCAGTACTCACCACTGAAACCTTCATGACCTACGTCAGGTCCTTGATCACACAACTGGGCCTCAACGCAGGCAAATACTCAGGACACTCCTTTCGTATAGGAGCCACGTCCACAGCCTCCAGTGTCAACATCCCAACTCATGTTATCAAAACACTGGGGCGCTGGAAGTCATCCGCTTACTCACGGTACATACCAAACCCAGTACAAGAATTAAGGGATGCTTGCAAAAACATGTCTGGTTGATAAAATGTATATGTATTGGTTGTCTGTTAATAAATTTGATTACTTAATTTTTGCCCTCTTCTTTCTCAGGCCTACCTCATCGTCGGTTTCGGCACACCACAACCGACTTGCTGCTTTTATTATCCTACGTTTATTCATGGTATTTCACACTGTACTATCTTAAGCACCTAACACAAATAAATATATATATATATATATATATATATATATATATATATATATATTTATTTGAATTACTTTTATGTGTGTTCATAAATGGTTTAAATCCTTTACTTCTATGTGTGTTCATAAATAGTTTAAAAACGTAACAACTTTTTTGCGGGCATTAGGGGGACTGTCTGACATTTCAGGCACTCCCACTTCAGGCAATGCACAAGACGGCTGTTCTGTTAGGACCCCGCAATCACATGGCCCGGGAAGGCCAGATCGGCTTGAGGGGGACTGCCTGTGCTCTCAAGCAGTCACTTTTTTTTCATGCAAGCTGTGTCAGTCACAGCCAGGGGAGTTGTGGCTAGGGTTGCATGGACATGCAGAGAGTCGAGCAGTGAGACTGCAGGGGCTTAATCTCTACAATGAGTAGACAACCTTTCGTACTACAGATGTTGTGGACTACATCTCCACTGGTGCTTTGCCAAAATTATGGCTGTAAGAGTATAATGAGAGATGTAGTCCACAACATCTGGAGTGCCAAAGGTTGCCTACCCCTGATATGTACTTAAAAACTGTTTCATTATGCGTAAGCTGTTTTATTGCTTAGAGTGTCCCTTTAAAATAATCAAATAGTTTAGAAAGGTCTTCAGAAATATGCCCAATGCTACCTGAGATTAGTGGGACAATCCCCGGTGGCTGTCGTCATTAAAGTGTTGTAGGTACCACTCGACAGCGTGACTCATGTCCTGTTTAAGATTAGAGCCCCTAGAATGTGTGGAGGTGATTCCTGCATAATTATCCAATCATTCGAAAGCATGATCTACCCAAGTAATAAATAGATTATAAGCTTTTTTTTTTTTTTTTTTTTAATTGCCTTAAAGGGACATAATAAAGTTTGAACAGAAGTTGAGTGCTGCTGCAGCCTGCTAAGTGGCAAACTCTGCCTATTATGAAACTACTTGCTAACAACTGTCTAATATCTTTTAAAACTGGAGGAGTAAAAGAAAAATATTCAAAAGATGGTTTACCTTTTATCTTCTTTCAGTTTTCTGTTCTCTCTATAATGCACAAGCCACTTCCAAACTGATGCCTTGTTCAATGTCTCCAATACTGCAGCGACATCCTTTACCTTCCCTATAATTATATGGAAAGACAATAAATTAAATACAATTTTAGAAATATCTTAAAGTAGATTTATGCACAGAGGAAAATCTTTGCCTCAGACAGAAAAAAAAATGTTTAATTCAGTTGACCAAATTTCATTGATGAGGTTGTTTTGGTTTGTTTACATTTTAGGCATGCAAACAATTCAGGAAAATGCTTTGGATGAAAAAAAAGGGTGTGGAAAAAAAGAACCTAACCCTGCACTGCAAATATTATTATTAGTCACAGGAAAAAGAAAAGTACGCTCTCTTTGAATTCTATGGGTTTATATATCAAGACATAACAATAATCTGTTCTTTATCAGGTCTTAAAATAAGATAAATACAACCTAAGATGAACAACAAATTACACCATGTCAGGATTTATTTAAAAAAAAATTAAAAAAAAATATTTATATATATATATATATATATATATATATATATACACACACACACACACACACACACACATGAAAGAGTGAACAGAAAGCAAAATATGAACATAAATAAGGATACCTAGTCATAAAAACCAAGAACACACTAAAAGTTTATACATTAATTGTAACATTTACTAACAATACAATTTCAGTAATAATTGTAATTAGGTACAAAGACCTAAAAACTGCATGTGCCAAAGAACTAAATACTAGGGTAGCTTTCAACACTGGATCAACATGTTCAACCATGGTTTAGGAGGAGGCACCATGTTGGATTTTGTTACAAGAAAGAAAACATGCACACTACACAAGAAAATACAAACAAATTAATGGTTTGCATTCAGTAAATAGTAAACGATATTGAACTGACAAGTGAAATGTAAAGCTTAGGCCAAAATACCGGATATGGGAAAACATTTTGAGAATTCAAATTGTTTTCAAACTCTGTTTTAGTCTAAAATTAACCATTCCCTAAAGAATTCACTAGGAGACTAAAATAGCTTATCTGGAATTCCTCCAACTCTATTTAAAAAAAAATATATCCACAGCTTGGCTATCTTTGAATACATTCTGCAATTTAGATTAGAATTTTCCACAATTCACAGTTCAGTGAATAACCCTATTAATGGAGTAAGTAATTAGCATAAAGTAATTTTGTGAAAAATAAAATGTTATCAACATTATCGTAATGTGTTGTGATTAGCTAATACGTTTATGTTTGATTTAAGGTTTATTACTACCTATGTTACTAGAAATTTTAAAAAGCTATTTTATGTGGCAATAGTCCATGAGTGTCATAACTCAAAAATCTTTGTAGACAACTACTCTTATTAGTATCTGGTCTAAGCACCAACAGATTACTTTGTCGTAAGTAATCTGTATAGTTTCTGCCTAGTTTTATTCTCACATATTACCATAATTGTATAGTTCTTACATCCTACCCTTCATTATATAGAGTAGACAGCATTTCGTGACTCATATCAGCGTAAAGCTGGGGCAGTTTTCTTTATTCTGTGTTTAAAGTTCAGTAAAGACAACACAGTAAAAGCAGAAAAGGCTTCTTCCATTTATACTCAAGAAAAGAAGAAATATAATTAATAAATTAACAAAGACTAACCTAATGTCATAGATTCCAAAATAGATGGATCAGAAACCACAAAACCACCAGCCTGAAAAAGGTCCTCATAATTAGAATCTGTTATGTCTTCTGGACAGTCCACACCAACAAAAGACACATTAGGGTCCAACTTTAGCTGCACCAAACATGGAATCTGTAGGGATAGAGAGAGAAATCTTACATGCATACACAGAGACATGTTAAAACATGAATAATGTTTTTTTTTTTTTTTTTTATATAAAGCCCTTATTTCAGCAGTGTTGTAAACAATTAAAGGGACAATGTAGGCACCCAGACCACTTCAGCTCTTTGAAGTGGTCTGGGTGCTGTGGCCCTTTTGCACTTAGTGCTGCAATGTAAAACATTGCAGCTCTAGGTCTGCCATCTGTGGCTGACTAACAGACAGCCACTAGAAGGCTTCCGGAATCCAAACTGACCTTTGGTCGGTTATCTGATGCTGGACGTCCTCACGAACCTCACGTGTCAGATCTTCCCCATAGGAATGCTTATCTATGGGGAGGTCTAATGCGCGCAGCCATTGCCGCGCATGCGATCTCCCCAGCGAGCTGTGGAAGAGCATGGGCGGATCCTGTCCCAGCGCCGGATTCAGGTAAGTGGCTGAAGGCTTAAACCCCATTCAGCACCGCGTGAGGGGTGCCCTGAGGGAGTGGGGGACCTATTAAACCTTTAGCGCCAGGAAAACAAGTTTTTTTTCCTGGCACTATAGGATCCCTTTAACAACTTATTTGGGTTTTGCGAAGATAGCTTTCCAAGAATATCACCAGACTTAAACAGAGCTACCTATTTCTACTGGACCCAACCACCTATTCAAGCCTATGTATTGTACTATCATAGAACCACAATTTTGATAAAAAAAAAGCTAAATTTAATATATACTTTATAAATTACTTCTTACCCTGTAAATGAGATAGGATATTTATCACATTATCTTCTAGTTGATATATGTGTATGTTTCATATTGTAAGACTCCATCCCCCTGTCAACACATGCATATTCCTAATATGGACAAACTTTAACAAGTTTTTTTTTTCTCTGGTGACCAGTTTGCTAAGTCACTAAAAAATGTCCTACAAAAAACAGGCAGTGTTGGATAAGTTTGCCAACGAGATAGAGCTTTTTCTTTTTTTTTTTTTTTTTTAACAGCTAAATTTGCACAGATTAATTTAACCATTAGTAAATAACTCTCATAGGTTTGTACATCACATGGATGGCAACAGTGTACACCAGCACAGACATTAACAGCATTGCTTTAAGTGTGGGAAGTATAAGAAAAGCAGCATGTCAATGGTCTTTTGGAGCCATTCTTTTTTTTTTTTTTTTTTTTTAAATGCATCAGTAAGTCACTTGCTATTAAAAGGAAGATCTTATTTTTAAAGTATATGTATTTAAACACATACGCAGGGCTCAAAATGTGCCCTCACCAGTACTCATTGGTGAATGAAAACTTAGCTTGACGAGTAGTTCATTCATAGTGCGTGTTCAATGTAGACTTGTAGTAGCAAGTAACTTCTAAAGCCTGGCTAGTGACATAGGACTTGGCAGAGAGAGAGAAATTATTGACTATAGGGGGTGAAGCACATACCTTATGTATATGAGAAGATATGTCTTCATTCCTTATGATGACAAGTAGCCTCTCTGACTCCATGTGCTTGCTGTTACAGAAGTGATGAGGTTCTGTGGCAGTATGGCCATCTTTCTTCAGCAGGCTCTTTGGGCAGAAAATAAATAACAGTAAATAACTAAACATGCTAACTAAATCTGTGAAATTCTAAAGTAAGGCATAAGTCAATGGAGCAAAAATTGTTTGGCAGATTTCCCACAATATATGTTTATGTATCATAAAGTAAAAGCCTGATTCAGCACAAATTTAGCAAAATGCTGAATATAAAGAAATGGTGAACCTTAAAATGAGCCTGTCAATCACAGACTATCTAGTTAACAGGTTCAAAGAAGGCTTAACAGATATTACCACAATATGCATAACACTTGATTAATCTATTTGTTTACTTGTAAGAGGCCTGCTATTACTAGGCATTTCACTTGACTCATCATGTGTTGTATGTAGCTTAAAGGATCACTATAGTGTCAGGAAAACACTTTCCTGACACTATAGTGCCCTAAGGGTTCCCCCACCCTCAGGGTCCCCATCCTGTGGTGCTAAAGAGATTATAACCCTTTCAGCAGCTTACCTAAATGCAGTGCCAGGCTCCCTCGGCGCTGGTGACCTCTCCTCCCCCGCCGACGTCAGCTCTGGAGTGGAGTGCGCATGCACGACAAGTTCCGCGTGCGCATTCAAACAGTCCATAGGAAAACATTTCTAATGCTTTCCTATGGACGTTCTGCACGCTGGATGCGAAAGTCTCATCCAGCGTCGCAGATGCGCCTCTAGCGGCTGTCAAGAAGACAGCCACTAGAGGTTGGATTAACCATGCTATGTAACATTTCTGAAACTGCTATGTTTACATCTGAAGGGTTAAAACCTGAGGGAACTGGCACCCAGGGGAGAAGGGAGGGGAGGAGGGAAGGGGGGGTCCTGGATGACCAGATGGTGGTTTTAACATTTTAGGGTGAGGAATACAGGTTTGTGTTCCTGACCCTATAGTTTTCCTTTAACCCCTTAGTGACCAGACCGCTTTTCAATTTTCTTACTGTTAAGGACCAGGGCTGTTTACATTTCTGCGGTGTTGTGTTTATAGTTATAGGGCTATAAGTACAAGTAGCACTTTGTTATTTCCAAACCATTTTCTTTCAAAATTAACATTAAAGTTACATTGTAACACTGATATCTTTCAGGAATTCCGTAATAACCCTTTACATGTATGTACTGTTTTAAAAGAAGACAACCTAAGGTATTAAACTTGGGTATTTTGACTCTTTTCATGCAACCATTTTACCACCAATCTATGCCAAGTTTAAAAAAATAATAATAGGTGATTTTCTTGACACACATAGCAATTTAAGAATACATTTACAGAGAACTTTAAAGGTTACTGCCAAAGAACACCCAAATATGTGTTCAACAACTCTGAGTTCAGTGATACCACCCATGTATAGGTGTCTCAGGTTCTCTGGGGGCTAAAAAACAAACAAAACTTATTTGGAGGGTGCGCATTCCAGGTTTCCAACCTGGAATTTTCACAGCTGGTCATCAGGCACCCATGTCCTATTTGGGATATTTTTTAAGCCGGCCAATGTAATTTACTCCCATCAAACCATATATTTTTGTTAAGTAGACAACCCAGGGTATTCAATATGGGGTATGTCCAGTCTTTTTTAGTAGCCACTTAGTCACAAACAATGGCCAAAGTTAGCATTTACATCTGTTTGTGTGTTAAAAATGCAAAAAACAATTATGAACGCTAACTTTGGCCAATAAAAAAGACTGAACATACCCCATTTGCAATACCTTGGGTTGTCTTCTTTCGAAAATGGTATGCCATCATGGGGGTAATTCTCATTCCTGGGCTACCATATGCTCTCAAAGGCAACATAACCAAGGGGGGGTACTGTTATACTCGAGAGACTTCGTGAACACAAATATTAGTGTTTCAAAGCAGTAAAACGTATTACAACAATATCATCAGCGTGAAAAATGCAAAAAACTTCACTTTCCCCGACAATATCATCGCTGTGATATGTTTTACCATTTTGAAACACTAATATTTGTGTTCAGCGAAGTCTACCGAGTAAAACAGTATCCCCCATGTACAGGTTTTAGGGTGTCTTGGAAAGTTACAGGGTTAAATATAGTGCTGGCAAATTAAATTCTCTGGACTTTCTGCCTGGGTTGTCAGGCAGGTCCCCCAAATTGCAATCAATAAAATTACTTAATTATGTAAAAATATTTGGCCAGTGTTTGTGACCAAGTGGCTACTAACAAGACTGGACATACCCAATTTGTGATACCTTGGGTTGTCTACTATTGCAAATGGTATGCCATCATGGGGGTAATTCTCATTCCTGGGCTACCATACGGTCTCAAAGGCAACGTAACCAATCTGGCGAATTTCAAAGTGAAGAAAATGTAAAATGCAACATGCTATATTTGACCCTGTAACTTCACAAAACACCATAAAAGCTGTACATAGGGGACATCGCTGAATACAAATATGTGTATTTTATTGCAGTAAAAGCAAGCAGTATTATGATATTCAGTTAAAATGTCATGCAGAACTAAAATAATAAAAATTCTTAATTTCTCACTTTTTAAAAAAAATATTTTATTCATATTAAATTATGTTTCATAACTAAAAATTTGATGTTAAATGAAAGCCCTATTTCCTCTAAATAAAATGATATATAATAAGTGTGGGTGCACTTAATATGAAAGAGGTGAATTACGGTTTAACAGACAGTCAAATTGCAAGTTTTGTTTATGTTTTATTTTGATCAAAACGTGCACATTTGGCTCAGTCCTTAGGGGATTAAATATACACAGATATTTAAATGTTATCCTAAAAAAATAGTAAAAGTTGACAGATTTAGTTACCTTGGTTTGTGAAAAGAAAGGATCATCACTGGTTTCATGGATGTAAAACCTAAATTTCCTCTGGCTATATTCCTTGGCAACGCTGTGTAATCTTGAATGCAGGCTGGTGCAGAGGTCAGAAATAATGTTTTTAACAGCAGGCACTTTATGTGAAAGAGGAGCAAATGTCTTTTTTGTCTGCACACACTCATCTACAAACTCTCTGTTCAATGTACGGTCTGTTACTGTATTACCTAAACTCACCCTACTTAATTTTAAGTGATTCGTCTGAACGCACTCATTAAGAATCAGTGAAATGTCATTGTTTGATTTCTCAAGCTTATTTTCATATTTTAACCGACTGAAGTGAAAAGGTGATGACGCTCGCTTGTATGCTCTGACTTTCTTTGGAGTTCTGGAGTTGCATGCAGAACTTTCGGTAGGTCCTTCATCAACATACACCGGACTATAACGACGATATGGATACCAGTGGTTACGTCTCCTTGATTCCTTCTTCCTGTTAGAACAATTTATCGTGATAAGGAGAGGACTTCTTTTTCTGTTTGAGGAACTAGAACAGCCAGAAATCCTACTAGTTTCAAAAATTGTCCTGGAAGGTGACTCAGAAAAAAACTTGTCGGTGCAAGCATTTCTTAAGACCAACTTTAGCCTATGAATAAAACGTAACTGTTCCATATCGAGAGTGTTTTGTGTGAGGTCATCTGTGATGATTCTTTGACTGAAAAATAAACTGTCCAGATCTGACTTTCTTCTGTTTATAGTCTGGGAAGTTCTACCAGCTTCTTTATTAGTAACCGTAATATTCCCAGAACTATGAGAACAGTAGTAATCTGGGTCCCTACGGTACCTTGGTAAGTACCCATCTTCTTCCTGAAACAAATCAGGCTGTTTTTCAAAACTCTTTGCTTCTTTTGAATAGACAGGTTCATGGCATGTTTCAACTGGTGAAGATGAACGTGGGGAGCATGGGTAAGATTCCCTAGCATTGGAAATCTTTGGAACATCTGTGCTTTCTTTATAAGATGGCCGTAAAAAGTCAATGTCCTCATGTGAAGCTTCTGACCAGCGTTCGTATTGCTCCTCACTTATACTGGCTGTGCTTGCTATGAAACAAATATCAGAATGCTCCTGGATAATATTCTGTTCTATATTCTCACCAAATTTTCCTTGTGTAAGCAATGTGCCATTATTTTGAGTAGGGATGCTCAATGCCTCTTTGAAAGGCTCTGGCTCTGTACTGGACATGGAAATATTACCATCTAGAATAATAATTTCACACTCATTTTTCTTCATTCCAATGTACCTTTCGGGACTTGTACAGTCCATAGACACATCAGTAACATCAGAGGCACATTTATCATCAATAAGTACTGACGGTTCTTTGCCACTACTCTTGGAACTGTGTTCTTCCTTGTCTAGATCTATGACGATTGCTGAGCTAATCTCAGATTCCTTATTACCAACAGAAAGATTTTGAGTATCTGCTGGACTTACCAGGTCTACAGACACAATATTTACTTGTGTGTTGGTTTCATTACTTGGGATGCTTCTACTCTGGTAGGAATCATCACCATCTCTGTTAAGATCTTGATCAAGTGTTTTTATAGCATTTGCAACTAATCTCTCTGTTTCATCAACATTGCATTCGTCCACAAATATGTCGGATAGAATACTTGGACTTCTAGGAGGTGATATGCTTTTATTTAATCCATTAATGTCCATTGTGTCTTTTGTAATATGCAACTCCCTGGGTGGAATGATTCTCTCACATATTTTAAATATTTGAAAAGGTTCAACCACTGTTTTCACGTGTGTTTGATGAAAGGGAATTTTCTTTTTTTCTGTCTCAACAAGAAAAGTGTGCTTGGATGTTTCATCATTAAAAGAGCATATCTCGACCGAAGATTCATGGTCTGTGATTGGATGGTCAGTACGCACCCCATTTTTATCACCAGCTTGATTGGGCACAATATCATTTACTGAAGATGTATCTGCTGGAATAACAGCATCTTCTTGTGATTTTTGACCATCAAAATCTATTTGTTCCTGAACTGAGACAAACTTTTCAGTCAAAGCTTTTATACTGTTTATATTATTATTTAATTTTTCTTGAGTCACATTCATTAAACATGTATTAACATGTTCTTTTTCTTTGATTTCTAAATTAGCCACTGTCTTTGAGGTGGTGAATTCTGTAACTTGGCCTGTTGTCTTAACCATCTTAAGGTCTGCAACTGATTCAGGAGATGGAATTTCGGGTAAAACTACAGGCTCTTTTCTTTCCCCTTTGTCCATCTAAAAGCAACACAATTACAAGAATTCTATTTGAAACAGATTATTAAGAGAGCAAACAGTTCTTAAATATTGGATAGTAAATATTCACAATCTCATATTTTTAATCTAGCATGTTCTTGGTACTAGCAAATCTGTTATAGTTGCATATTATCAGCACTCACTGCCTATTCCTGGTCGACAGCAGCAATTCAGCCCTGTTAGCATATAGACCTTACTAGGCCTTTTAAATAGTGTCTGCTGCTATAATCTGCTTTTATGATCTTAACTGATATATCTAAAACACAAAATAAAAAGGAATTAACGCTTTTTTTTCTTTTAGTAGAGAGAGAAGAGATGTTAAAGAAACACTATAGTCACCTAAACAACTTTAGCTTAATTAAGCCGTTTTAGTGTATAGATCATGCCTCTTAGGTTTTACTGCTCAATTCAGTGCCATTTAGGAGTTAAATCACTTTGTTTCTGTTTATGCAGCCCTTGCCACACCTCTCCTGACTCCCCTGATTCACACAGCCTGCATGGGAAAAAAAAATGGTTTCACTTTCAATCAGATGTAATTTACCTTAAACAATGGTATCTCTTGCTCTGTAAATTGAACTTTAATCACATACAGGAAGCTCTTGCAGGGTCTAGGAAGCTATTAGAGGACCACTATAGGCACCCAGACCACTTCAGCTCAATGAAGTGGTCTGGGTGCCAGGTCCATCTAGGGTTAACCCTGCAGCTGTAATCATAGCAGTTTCAGAGAACATTAGGGTTAATCCAGCCTCTAGTGGCGGTCTCATTGACAGCCGCTAGAGGCGCTTCCGCGCTTCTCACTGTTAAAATCACAGTGAGAAGAAGCTGACGTCCATAGGAAAGCATTGAGAAATTGAGAAATGCTTTCCTATGGATTGACTGAATGCGCGTGCTGCTCTTGCCGCGCATGCATCGCTGACCTCGGAAGAGGGAGGAGATTTCCCCTTACTCCCCCTTCAGCCTGGTTGGAGTGGGACCCTGAGGGTGGGGGTGACCTAAAGACCCTAGAGTGCCAGGAAAACAGGTTTGTTTTCCTGGAACTATAGTGGTCCTCTAAAATAGCAGAGGATAAGAAAATCTAAATTAAACAGAACTTGCAATAAAGGAATGATAAACTTTAGATGACTCTGTACAGGAAGTGTTTAGGAAGGCTGTGCAAGTCACATGCAGTGAGGTGTGACTAGGGTTCATAAACAAAGTGATTTAACTCCTAAATGGCAGAGAATTCAGCAGTGAGGCTGCAGGGGCATGTTCTATACACCAAAACGGCTTCATTAAGCTAAAGTTGTTTTGTTGACTATAATGTCACTTTGAGTTAAAAATACACCTATATCTAAATACAAAAAAAACACGCAAACAAAAAAAGGGAATATAAATTGGATGTGGCATAATTATTTATAAAACACTCAATGCTGACCAGATATTTCTCTGTAACATACCAATATATGCACTGCAGGTACGTAGACACGTTCAAGGAAATTAAAGATAACAATAAAATTCATATTTATTACGAGACTGAATTACACAGTATTATATTATTTCTGACTATAAGAGTAATATAAACGAACACATATAACTAATTTCACTTGTGTAAATTAATATATGGATATAACATATGAATATAGTATTGCAGATCCTTTAATTAAAATTAGTATTAAAGTTTCAGTCCTCTTTTCTCACAAAATAGTGAAGGACCTACTATGTTTGTCCCAGGAATGCTAGTCACACCGCTAGGAACTAAGTATCTCAAGATTAGATAACACAGTGGGATATAGATATGCAGAGATCCTTCTTATAGAGAGGAATTTGCCTGCATTAAAATACATACTGGAAACAAATAATTCTTAGTTCTTATTTATATTGCAAGTGAAACTAATAGCATAAGAAGCTAAAGTGGCACATAACGCTCTACACAGGATCACACACAGACAGATATACATTTATTATTGCTACTATAATACTTACCAGGCACTCTGAAGTTGTAAGGGGTTGCACTGTTTTTCGAACATCTTTTTGAGCAAGTAAGCTATCCTCGATTGGTGCAGATACATGTTGTTCTACAGGTCTCTTTTGAGAAACATCACAATTTTCACTGCTGTCAGACAGCTCTACCTGTGTGGTTAATTTGAGAGTCTGATCCAGATTCTCTGATGAGATTTTCTTGGCAAAACCATTATAGACTTTCATTACTTCCAGAGAACCATCTCTACAAACAGAATCCCCATTTGAGATAGTATTGCAAGAAACAATTCCTGGTTGTCTGTGGTTAACAGATGCCACTTCAAGTCCGTCATCTCCAGCAATATCTTTTCTTTCCGCACTAACAGCAGAGCATTCCATTGTTTCACTACCTAGTTGGCTAGGTTCAGACCTCCTCTGTGGATCTTCGAACAAATTAGAGATGCTGCTACTTTTACAAACATTACCCACTAACTCAAGGCACATGTTAGACTTTTCATTTTCAAAAAGATAAGATTCTTTATGTTGAGTCTGCATTGTCCTCAGGGCTTCTGTATTTGAAGTTCTGTTGTCACTTACATATGAATTTAATTCTTTTTCATCATCAATAGCTTGCATATCTGTATTAGTAGCAAAGCATTTAACAGCTAGAGTATCTTTTTTGCCAATGATTCTGGTATTTAATTCTTCTCTTTTATTTGCAGATTTCTGTAATTACAAAAGAACAATATGAGTAAGTTAAAGGGACACCATAGTCACCATAACAGCTACAGCTAACAGCTACAGCTTTTTGCAGTTCTGGTGAGTATAATCATTTCCTTCATGCTTTTTGCAGTAAACACTGTCTTTTCAGATAAAATGCAATGTTTACATTACAGCTTAAGGACACCTCCAGTGGCCAATCATCAGATGGCTACTAGAGGTGCTTCCTGTGGCAGTGCTGCACAGTGTCTAGCACTGACATTCAACGTCTCTACCCTCTGCATTGAGACACTGAACTTTCCTTATAGAGATGCACTGATTCAAGACATCTGTATGAGGAGCCTGCCTCCTTGGGAAAACATTGTGATTGGCTGAGATCATCAATTCTGATGATGTTAATCAAGGAGGTGGATCAGGAGCGGAATCAGAAGCAAGGAGCCACTCGGCGTTGGAAAAAGGTGAGCAAATCACCTAACTGTGGTTTTATAACTATCGTGTTAGAAATATATGGTTGTGTTCCTGACACTGTAGTGACCCTTTAAATCATACATTTATGGGCTACTAGAATTCTCCAAAAATATTGGCAGCATTTTATTATATTCCAAAATCAGAATGAATAGCTTGTTGTTGTTTTCAATGTGTACATCTACAAGCATATGAAAACAAAAAGGATAATGCGGTCTATGCTTTTCCCCACATTTTGCATGACAGTCGGGGAAGTTGTAGAAACACAATCTTTCAGTACCTCTGCATCTGTAACAATATATTTCTGAGACTAAATTATACCAGCGCACACACACAAACTTGTAGTATGAGATTATACCACCATTACAAGTACACCCACTTTCACACTCTTACGATATTATAATGGTGTGACTAAAGATGCTTGGTAATGTTTTTGAAAGGTTAATTTCAACACAAATCACACTCATGTTCACAGTATCCCTTAAAAGAGTTAGCAAAATTACATGTCATTAGTGACAAATGTCACAGTATTTTAAAGAGCAATTAACTTCCCTAAAGATCAAAGTATGTGACAGCTGGTATGGTTTGTATGGCTAGCTGAAGGCTCGTGAATTATTTAAATAATGCTGGTATGACAGCTTCAGACGAGGTGTGAAAAGAAGAGATGCAAGCTCTGGTCAGACATACAAATAATTATGCAGAAAACAGTCTTGTTTTTACAATTGTGACAGAGTGTTGGGGATGGTGGTCAAAGGTGTATATCTGGCACCCAGACTTTTGCGCAGCCACTATCCAGACATGTGGTTCAGCACATGCAGCCCCAGGGAAAGTTAAGGTTAAATGTAGGTTTTTTTTCTCTGTTGTTATTTGGGTCCATGAGGTGGAGTATTCGGAAGAGCAGGGTGGGCCGATTCTCCACCCACTGTCAGAGTGGCTGTGCATGAGTCCAGCCCAGGCTTTCCAAGGAGTTCTGGCTCACTACCAAACGAGGTCATTAGCCTCACCTGTAAGGGCTGTGAGCAGCTTTATAACTGCAGTTAAAGCAGGGTGGGGGAGGAAAAGTGTTTTGAGGAGAAAGAAGGTTTTGTTGCTTGTTGTATCCTGTTGTATCCAGTGACTTCTTACCAACAGAAAATAAACAGGCCAGAGGCCTTTGAAACTGAACTTTGTCTTGGCCTGGCTTCCTTACCCTATAGGGGTGTGCAGTTGCCAAAAGATCCTGGACAAACACATACAGGGAAATATGTTTGTCACATATGGTGGAGGATGCAGGCACTACACTGAAGAAGCCTGTGGGTATTAACGGGAAGCCAAACAAGCCTGGAGAAATATGGAGGAAGTTGTGAAAGTTTTGTTGCAAACTACAGCGGCACAGCAAAAGGCTACAGCCGTACAGCAGGAGGCCACAGCCTCACAACAGGAAAATATTGCAGCCCTACAGCAACTGATAATCACGCAAAAGGCCAACACAGATGCCATGATCCAGCAGATTGTGGCCGCCCAAGCTGAGGCAAGCCGCCTGCTCAGGGAGGAGCAACATCAGGCCTCCAGCATGATACAGAAGGAGATACAAGCTTTGACCAAGGGACTGACCAGAGTTTCGGATGGGACGCAGTCCGAGGTTAAGATGATCAGAGCCAGCCGTTACCTGCAGAAGATGACACATACAGATGATGTGGAAGCATACCTTCTAGCTTTTGAGAGGCCAGCTGACAGAGAAGAGTGGCCAGTGAGTGAGTGGGCAAGCTTACTGGCACCTTTTCTTATTGGAGAACCCCAGAAGGCTTTCTATGACCTGGAACCAGAGCAGGCAGGGGTCTACTCCAAACTGAAGGCTGAGATCCTTGCACGACTTGGTGTGAATATGGCAGTTCATGACCAAAGATTTCATGCCTGGACTTTCAACCAAGAGAAACCTATCCGCTCCCAGATGTTTGACCTGATACATCTTGCTAGAAAGTGGTTACAACCAGAAATAAATCCGTCAAGCCACATCATGGAACTTCTTGGGATGGACAGATTCCTGCGGGGCTTACCTGCTTCACTGCGTCGATGGGTCAAACATACTAGTTTTCCTGGCACTATAGTGCCCTGAGGGTGCCCCCACCCTCAGGGTCCCCCTCCCGCCGGGCTCTGGGGAGAGGAAGGGGTTAAAATCTTACCTTCCTCCTCCTCTCCTTCTTCCTAGCGACGTCATCGGCTGAATTACAATGCTTTCCAAAGGACGCTGGCGTCTTCTCACTGTGATTTCACAGTGAGAAGCACGCAAGCACCTCTAGCGGCTGTCAATGAGACAGCGACAAGAGGCTTTAGAGGCTGGATTAACCCTCAGTGTAAACATAGCAGTTTCTCTGAAACTGCTATGTTTAAAAAAAAAAAAAAAAAGTGTTAATCCTAGCTGGACCAGGCACCCAGACCACTTCATTAAGCTGAAGTGGTCTGGGTGCCTATAGTGGTCCTTTAGTTTGGTGGAAAGATATGTTGCTGCAGATGACAGACAGTAGCTTAACAAAATAAAGTCTATGGAGAGAGTTAAGTCTCCATCTGCTGGTAAGATTTTTCAAGGATTCAGAGATACAGAGGAACAAGAGACATATTCTCAGAGACCCCATACGCTTATGTCTAGAAATGTTAATCCTGGAAAAGGGTCTAGGTGGGGGACAGATGAAAATATTAAATGTTTCCGGTGTAATGAACTTGGACATAAAGCTAGAGACTGTCCCTTGATTGATGAATCTATGCAATGTCTTGTCTGCTGAATTATATGGAATCTACTTATGCCAACTGTAGTCACAATACGCAGATTTGTTCCATAAAGGTGAATAGGAAAGAGGTTGGAGCTCTATTAGACGCCGGAAGTATGGCTACACTGATAACAAAATGCCTTGTATCTGAAGCCGATGTTGATGCATTTCAGAAAATTGGTATAATTTGTGTTCATGGTGACAAACGTGAATATCCTACAGTTTTGCTGAAATTTGAAAGCCTTTTTGGTACTGTGAATCATTCAGCAGGGGTGGTGGATAAATTGGCTTATGATGTGAAGCTGGGAAGGGATTTTCCCCAATTTTTAGACTTGTGGGGGTCTCCAGGAAAAGTAGCCCCTGATTGTATAGCAAATGATGATTCTGGAAATGTGTTTCCTTTTTCTGACATAGATGTGAAGAACTAGGCATAAGAACAGAGAAGGCTGAAGTCACACACCAGCTTTAACAGGAGATGACCCAAGCCACGATAGTCAGGAGTCCGATTGCGATCAGGATCAAGGCATTAAACTTTCTTGAATTAGAAGTCAGTCCTGTTAACTTCAGGAAAGCACAATGGGAAGACCTCACTCTTGCAGAGGCCCATAAAAATATCCAGGTTTCTAACGATGATCCAGTTCAACTAGATAGAGCCCCTTCTTATCCTTACTTTGAGGTACAGAATGATTTGATTTATAGAGTGGAGAAAAAAAGGGATGGATGTTGTAAAGCAACTACTTGCTCCTAAGCCCTTCAGACATCCAGTCCTAAATCTTGCACACAGCCATATACTGGGGGGACATTTAGGCATAGAAAAGACAAAAAGAGTCTTACAGATATTTTATTGGCCTGGGGTATTTGCTTAAGTTGCAAATTACTGTTGTTCATCTCCTGAATGTCAGCAAACCACCCATTTTAAGGCATAACGCAGTCCTCTTGTACCATTGCCTATAATAGAAATACCTTTTGAGAGGATTGCAATGGACCTGGTAGGTCCTCTGGTAAAGTCTGCAAGTGGGCATCAGTATATATTGGTGGTTTTGGATTATGCTACCAAGTACCCGGAAGCAGTGCCCCTACGTAACACTTCTCCAAAGACAATGGCAAAATAACTCATGCTCATGTTTAGCCGGGTGGGCATACCAAAATAAATTTTGACAGATCTGGGTACACCATTTATGTCTAAAGTTACAAAGGAGTTATGCAAACTACTTCAAATCAAACATCTTAGAACCTCTGTTTATCATCACCAGACAGATGGACTGGTAGAACGGTTCAACAAGACCTTAAAAAGTATGCTAAGGAAAGTAATTGACAAGGATGGTAAGAATTGGGATTGCTTACTACCCTATCTAATGTTCTCCATAAGGGAGGTGCCACAAGCTTCTATGGGCTTCTCTCCTTTGGAACTTCTATATGCCCATCATCCCAGAGGTCTGCTAGATATAGCAAAAGAAACCTGGGAACACAAATCCAATTCGTACCGTAGTGTAATTGAGCACATAGCTCAAATGCAGGATAGTATGGCGACTGTCATGCCAATAGTTAAAGAACATATGCAGAAAGCCCAAGAGGCCCAGAAAAACCATGCCAGACAGAGTTTTTCACCCAGGAGACAGGGTACTTGTTTTGGTCCCTACAGTAGAAAATACATTTCTAGCATCTTGGCATGGCCCCTATGAGATTATTGAACAAGTTGGGGAAGTTAATTATAAAATGAGACAACCCAATAGGAGAAAACCTGAACAAATACATCATATAAATTTACTAAAACCCTGGAAGGACAGAAAGGTCTTAACTACTTCAATTGTCATGAATAGGACTGATAGTGAACTTGAAGTAAACATACCAGACACACTGTCCCCCACCAGAAACAGGAAGTAAGGGACTTTATTGGTAGAAACAAGGAGGTATTTTCTGTAGTTCCAGGTAGGACTAACATTATCAAGCATTATATTGTTACAGAATCAGGGGTGAAGATAAGTATTAAACCATACAGAATTCCAGAAGCAGAGAAAGAGGCTGTAAATGCTGAAATTAAGAAAATTTTAGATCTTGATATTATTGAGGAATCACAAAGCGAGTGGAACAGCCCTATAGTACTGGTGCCAAAACCTGATTGTTCGTTAAGGTTTTGTAATGATTTTCACAAATTAAATAGTGTGTCCAAGTTGATGCTTATCCAATGCCTAGGGTTGATGAACTAATAGACTGGATAAGGCTCGGTACCAGACTACTTTGGACATGACGAAGGGTTATTGGCAAGTACCTCTTACAGACAGAGCAAAAGAAAAAAAAAAAAAGGCAGCTTTTTCGACATGAGGGGAATTATTCCAATACAAGGTGCTACCATTTGGGTTACATGGGGCCCCTGCCACATTTCAAAGACTGACTGATCGGATTTTAAAGCCTCATAGCTGTTATGCGGCCACATACTTGGATGACATAGTCATTCACAGTTCTGACTGGGCTTCACATCTTCCCAAAGTGCAGGCAGTAGTACTGGACTCTATCCGCCTAGCTGGTTTAACTGCTATCCCATCTAAGTATACTATTGGTTTGGAAGAGGCAAAATATCTGGGTTATTTGATTGGGAGAGGGCTTGTTGAGCCCCAAACCGCAAAAGTGAAGGCCATACAAAACTGGCCACACCCCCTCACTAAAAAGCAAGTCAGGACTTCCTTAGGACTTATTGGGTACTACAGGCGATTTATTCCTGATTTTGCTACATTAGCAGCTCCTTTAACTTATCTCACAAAAGGAAAAGCCCCACTAGTGGTGAAGTGGTCATTAGAGACAGAAAAATCATTTAAAATTGAAAGAGGCTTTGTGCACCCAACCATTTCTGGTAACCCCGGATTTCACTAAAGAGTTCATTGTGCAAACCAATGCATCAAAGATTGGGTTAGGGTTGGTTCTGTCTCAGGAAATTCAGGGTGAAGAACACCTAGTGTTTTATTTAAGTAGGAAGCTGAATCCCGCTGGGAAAAATTATTCTATAGTGGAGAAATAATGCCTTGCCATAAAGAGGAAAATTTATTCATACTTACCGTAATTTCCTTTTCCTGGCTATTATTCATGGCAGCATTTAACATATGGGTAGCTCCTCCCTCCAGCCAATAGGACAGGAATACCAATTAAAGACTTCAATTATCCCTGAGGTACAATAGATCCCAGAATACTAGGTTCCTCAGTCTAGTAGCAAACTGATCAGACATAATAAACCAAAATGCTGCCATGAATAATAGCCAGGAAAAGAAAATTACGGTAAGTATGAATAAATTTTCCTCTTTCCTGGCTAATCATGGCAGCATTTAACATATGGGGAATACCCAAGCAGTAAATACCACAGGGAGGGAATAGATGCCCAGAAATATTTATTTGTTTTGAGAAGAACAAGAATTTAGGACCGAAAGTCCAAATTGCAGGTTAGAATCCGAAGAAATATTGAGTTTGTAATGACTATTTATAGAAGACCAATTAGCTGCTTCGCAAATGCTCTCTGGTGATACTCCAGACTCTGCAGCCTATGAAGTGGCAATTGATCTGGTAGAGTGTGCCCTTATACCTTTTGGAACTGGAACTCCTCGGACCTTATAAGCTCTTGAAATAGAGGAAACAGTCCAGGAACGGAGGGTAGAAACAGAGGCTGCTTCACCCTTACAGGAGCCCCAAGGGACAACAAAAAGTTGGGGGAGACTTCCTCCAAGCCTTAGTCCGTTGAATGTAGACCAAAATGCACCTCTTAAGGTCCAGCATGTGAAACTTTTCTTCCATCTCGTTTGATGGATTTTTAAAGTAGACTGGAAGAACAATTTCTTGATTTATGTGAAGAGGAGAGACCACCTTAGGTAGAAATTCTGGTCTGGGACGGAGAATGACCCTGTCATGGTAGAAAGTGGTATAAGGTTCTTCTACCGAAAGACCTCTAATGTCCTCCATCCTTCTAGCTGAGACTAAGTCTAATAGTAGTAGAGTCTTTTGCATCAGGGACAACATAGGGATATCGTCCAATGGTTCGAAAGGCTGCTCCATCAAGGCCTGTAATACCAAAGGTAGATCCCAGGGACACTTGTAGACTCGGATCGGTGGTCTAATTCTAAGAACTGCTTTCATAAAGCGGACTACCATGGGGTCTTCAGCCCATCTGATACCTGACATGGCAGAAATAGCAGAACAATGAACCTTGAGGGTGTTTAGACTCAGACCTCTATCCAACCCAGCCTGTAAGAATCCCAAAACCTGGGAAATAGAAGGTGACTTCAAATCCTTCACATCTATATGAAGCCAATTCGCGAAGGCCCCCCATATCTTATAGTATGTAGAGGAGGTAGAAGTTTTTCTGGAACGCAGCAAGGTGGAAACAACTTTATCAGGAAACCCCTGCTCGCTTAAGGATTGCCTTTCAAGAGCCATGCATGAAGACGCAGTTTGTGTGGTTCTGGTTGTACTAGAGGTCCCTGAGACAGAAGATCCCAGAAGACTGGAAGTTCCCATGGATCGTCTATCAACAGACTCTTCAAGAGGGGAAACCATGGACGACGTGGCCAGAACGGGATGATAGCTATTATCCTGCATCGTTCCTTGGAGATTTTCTTCAGAAGGGCGGGAATGAGCTTGATCGGAGGGAATACATATGCCAGCTGGAATGGCCATCTTGATGAAAGGGCATCTTGAGCATATGCCAGTGGGTGAAATCTCCTTGACATGTAGCATGGAAGATGAGTATTCTGAGCAGTGGCCATTAAATCCACCTGTGGGAGCCCCCACATCCTCACCAGTCGTCGGAAGATCAAATTGGATAGCTTCCACTCCGTCTCCTTCACTTGATGTCTGCTCAGGAAATCTGCAATCGTATTCTCCTTCCCGGGAAGGTATAAGGCTGAGAGACCGGCTAGATTCCTCTGTGCCCAAATCATGATTGGCTTGATTTCTTTCATCAGTGCACCTCTCCTGGTACCACCCTGATGGTTGATGTATGCTACCGCTGCCCTGTTGTCTATTCTCAGCTTCACCTATCGATGCTGAATGAGATGAGATATTTGAAATGTAGAAGAGCTAGAAAGGCTGCTCTTAGTTCCCTTATATTGGAAGGAAGATGTCTTGTGTGCAGGGCCATAATGCCTGGACAAAGTGGTCTTTCAGATGTGCACCCCAACCATCTTGACTGGCATCCCGGGTGGTGATCATCCAGTCCACCTCCATCAGAGGGAAACCTTTGGATATGTTTTCCCAAGAAAGCCACCAGTTGAGGGACCTTTTTATATGATCCGGAATGGACATCTTCATCTCCCATTTCTGGGAGCCCAAGTCGAACTTCTGTAGGAAGTATTCTTGTAAAGGGCGGAAGTTCCACTGAGCCCATTTCACTAGGCCAAATGTGGAGGAAAGGGAACCTATGATCTTCATACACTTTCTTGCTGTAGTCGTTTTTTCGATTTGAAATTCTCGAATGCGTGACCACATATTTATTTTTCTGTCGTGGGCTAGAGACACTACTGCTGACACTGTGTCGAATTTTGCTCCCAGGAACACCAGCCTTCTGGCAGGCAGAAGTTGACTCTTCTGGTAGTTGATTAACCAGCCAAAGCGTTCTAGTGTCTGCAGTACCATCAGTCGATGTTTCAGTAAACCCTTGTATGTTTGAGCAACTACCAGGATATCATCTAGGTAATGGAATACTGTTATTCCCTTCCTTCTGAGTAATGCGATAACCGTCACCAGAATCTTTGAGAAGGTCCTTGGTGCTGTACTGATTCCGAACGGTAAAGCCTGGAACTGGAAATGTTGATTGTTTACACAGAATCTGAGTAACCTCTGGTCATGAAGGGCTATCGGGACATGGAAGTAGGCATCTTTCAGATCTACTGATATTAGCCAATCTCCTTGATGAACTGCCGGTATGATAGAGCGAAGAGATTCCATCCTGAATTTTTTTATTCTCAAGTGGATATTGAGCTGATGTAAGTCCAGAATGGGTCTCCACTTTCCTCCAGGTTTCTTTACCAGGAATAGAGGGGAATAGAAACCCTGAAACTTTTGACTTTCTGGAACAGGAACAATCACCCGTTGTTGTAGAAGATCTCCAGTGTACTGGATCAAAGCGACTCTTTTTATCGAATCCAAGGGAACACTGGTCCTTATGAATCTTGCTCGGGGAATGTCCACAAATTCCAGAGAATAGCCCTCCGTAATTATGGATCTCACCCAATTGTCTGGGATCTCTGCCCAAACCCTTTGGAAATGCATGTCTTCCTCCTACCAAAGGTGTTTGGGCGTAGTAACCTTCAGAACTGCTTGGAAGGACGAAAGGAAGAGGTGTTAGTCTTACCTCTGCTGGACTTGCTGGTTTGACCACTTCTCCAGGAGGTAGGTCCTTAGTATTCACGGCCTGGCCTATAAGCCTTACTATCTCTATAAGAAGGGTGTTCTCTATAAGAACGACGTTCAAGTGGAGGTCTTCTGGGACGTCTATCTTGAGGAAGCAGAACCTGCTTGACATCCAGCGCTCTTTTGATGGCATCTTCAAGGGGTTTTCCCAAACAATACTTCACCCGAAAAAGGAAGGGAACATAAGTTGTGCTTTGAGGCCATATCAGCCCCCCATGATCTGAGCCATAAGGCACGTCTGGCTGCAACTGAGAAAGCCATAACCTTTGACATAACCTTAATCATATCCGTAGAGGCTTCTAAGAGCCATTCACTGGCCAGTCTGACCTACCGTAGGGAATCTGCAATATGTTGTCTTTTGACACCCTTGTCCAAATCTTCTTCTATGTCCAGGATCCATACTCTCATTGCTCTGGACACAGCCGAAATAGAAACCGCTGGGTGACATCCAGTACCAGCTGCCAAAAAACATTTAGAAATGTCAGCATCTATTCTTTTCTCCATAGAGTCTCTCAGGGAAGCATTGCAATCTATCGGGAGGATAGAACGTTTGGCCACCTTGATAACTAAGGCATCAACCTTCGGGTTGGAAGTCCAAAGTCTGGAGTCCTCTTCACGAATGGGGTATAACTTAGGCAGACGGTTTTGCAGTGAAAGTCTCTTTTCTGGAGTCTTCCATTCCTTACTTATGAGATCCTTAAAGGACTTGTGTACCGGAAATGAAGGTTTTCTTTTACTGAGATCCCCAAAGTGTTTGTCCACTGCTGAGGTTTCTAGCACCTCATCAGGAAATTCCAGTATTCTTCTCACCAGAGAGATCAAACGCTCTATTGCTTTAGAGTCAAGGGGGCAGGAGTATTCTTCATCACTAGAAGACATATGTTCAAGGTCCATGGAACCCGAATCCTGTCCAAAATCTTCGTCTGAAGAATCGATGTTCCCCTGGGGATATTCACATCTATGACGCTTGCCTTTTTGTGATTCAGCAATGCCTTCTGCCACTGCCTGCTTAATCCACGAGGCTATATCCTGGGCTGAGGTGGATGCTTGAGGTTGTTGCTGGAATTCAGATTCTGCTGCAACTCTAGTAAGACATTTCTTACACAGCCTGCAGTTGTCCAAGGGTCTGGATCCACATCCAACGCAGGCTGCCGGTTTATCCCTTCTCCTGGAAGGAGATCTAGGGCCTGTCCGGTCTTGAGGGCTGAAATTACAGAAGTCAAGAGACTGTACCCTCTAGTGCACTCTTTATTTGGACAATGGTGGGAAAAGTTACAAAAATTAATGCTCACCTATGACCTATAGTCGCTGATTTAGCTGAAGTGGGAGAGTGATCCATCCTGGAAAAAAAACAATTCTAAGGCTGAAAGGGGGAAAAAAAACAAACAAACATTGTTTCTCTAAAAAACATTTTTAACAGAGAAACCCCAAATTATACAAAGAGATATCATAAAAGGAAAAATAAAAAAGAAATGAATACCTGCAGAGTGAGAGGGCTTGCTTCCCAGAGAGCAAATTACACCTCCTTGAAAGATTTGAATTTCACGGCAAAAAAAACCCCGCACTTTTCCCCTTTAAATAAAAATGACGAGCTGTTTCTTTAATCGCGCATGTGTGATTTACCGCGAGCGCCCGGGACCACCATTTTTGTTAGTGGCAAACATAGGGATACTCGCGTCCTCTTACCTCTGTGCATGTGCGGGCGTCCTGAACCTCGGAACTGGAAATCTGGCGCCAGAATATGAAGTTTTCACCTGCAGGGACAGGCATAGCAGCAGCTTTCAATAGGATGCCGGAGGAAACACTAACTCCTTTGGCTACCAGGGGGCCCCAGCTACCAAGAGCTGTACCTGGTCTTCCTACAGAGGGAGGCTGACCTCTTAGGGAGTAACAGGCTGAAATACATAGCCAGGTGAGCATAAAAAAAATAATAATATGTAATAAATACAAACTGTCCTGTCTGGCTAGGAGGACAGGAAAAAAGACTGAGGAACCTAGTATTCTGGGATCTCTTATACCTCAGGGATAATTGAAGTCTTTAATTGGTATTCCTGTCCTATTGACTGGAGGGAGGAGCTACCCATATGTTAAATGCTGCCATGATTAGCCAGGAAAATGGGCTTTAGACTCACTAAAATATTATCTGCTGGGCAGAAAATTTAGATTGGTCACAGACCATGCTCCCTTAACCTGGATGAGTCAAAACAAAGACAATAATGTCAGGGTGACAAGGTGGTTCCTCAGTTTGCAACCATTTCATTTTACAGTTAAACATAATTAAATTTATTATCTGTGTCTGATAATATGTCTGAGCTGGGGAGGGGAGGATATGTGACAGAGTGTTAGGGATGGTGGTCAAGGGTGTATTTCTGGCACCCAGATTTTTGTACAGCCACTATCCAGACATGTGGTTAAGCACAGGGAAAGTTAAGGGTCCCTGGGGTGGAGTATTCGGAAGAGCAGGGTGGGCCGATTCTCCACCCACTGTCAAAGTGGCTGTGCAGGAGTACAGCCCAAGTTTTCTAAGGAGTTCTGGTTCACTACCTAACTAGGTCATTAGCCTCACCTGTAGGGGCTGTGAGCAGCTTTATAACTGCAGTTAAAGCAGGGTGTGGGAGGAAAAGTGTTTTGAGGAGAAAGAAGGTTTTGCTGCTTGTTTTATCCTGTTGTATCCAGTGACTTTTTACCAACAGAAAATAAACAGGCCAGAGGCCTTTGAAACTGAACTTTGTCTTGGCCTGGCTTCCTTACCCTATAGGGGTGTGCAGTTGCCAAAAGATCCTGGACAAACACACACAGGGAAGTAAGTTTGTCACACAATGTTTACAAATGAAAAGCCCACAGGAATGATTAACAGGTTCCCTTTTACAAGCACAATTACTTTCTTCTAGATTACCATACTTCAAAAAGTAAAAATACCATTTACTAAAAATATGCAATCCAAAAATACAACTTTTCACTAATACAATAGCACAAGATGCATGCTTACCTTTCCACTGAGAAGTGGACCAGAACTTAAACGTTTATCCAAGTTCCCAGTTAGAAGATTGGTGACGTCACTCAAAGACTTACTTGTCTGAAAATCATTTTCAAAAGGAGTCCGTGTTACTGCATTAGATGAAGAATTTAAAACAAATTCTTTTAATCCAACCGTCTCATTTGAAGAAGTGTCAGAATGAGGTTTAGTCAATTGTTCCTTTTGTGCCACAAACTCTCTTTTATCATCAGAATTTCGTAATGTGAGGTCTAACAAATCATGTATCCCTTCAAGATTTTTGTTCTTCTCAAAATCTGGCACAGAGTCTGGAGCCTTCAAATGGTTTATGGTTGAAGGGACACAATCACTTGCTTCCTCAAATTTGCGGTTATCTTTTTCATTCTTTAAATCATAGTCCTCTTCTTGATCACTTATATTCTCGTATAGAACTTCACCTTGCACCCCAACCTCAGTGTCAAATAAATGACTAGACTTAGTAGATCTCTCCAATTCCATGGCATCTCCAGAATTGTCTGAAGGTAGTTCATCTTCTTTCTTCCCATCAGAACTCACCTTGATCACCTTTACAACCGGTAAAGGTATAATGTTGGCATCTGGCAAATCTTTAATCTGGGGAGAGTTATTTGGCTTTTTAAAATGACTACCATATCCAGTGTAAGGAAAGGAAATTCTTACCACATTTTTATTCCAAGCCTTATTTTGCATGCTCTTGTTTACATCCTGGAAAGGATCCATGTCACTTTTATAGCAGTTCTCACTTTCAGTTGAAAGCACCCAAGCTGGTGGGTCAAAAATGTCTCTCTTCTTTGGCGATTTTGTACCAGCATTTGTTTTTGTAGGTGTAGAAATATCAATTTTTTCATAAGCGTTTTGTTCTTGATCAATGTCTTTTTGCATCCTATTAAAGCCGCAAACTTCTTTGTAGCTGTCTTCTTCTGTTCTATCTGCATTCAGCTAAAATTGGGAATATTACGGGTTTTAGAAAATATACAGTAAATTGTAGACAAATTTATTGACAGTTCTGTATATGAATTTAAAGTGAGTTGTAAATTATAGGTGTGACAAGTTGAACTGGAGAGATTTTCAGAGATGTAAGCCAGGGAATATCAACAGTGAACTACAGCTATAACAAAATTGCTTTAATAAAAGTAAAAATTGGTTTAAAGGGACACTATAGACACCCAGACCACTTCACATCACTGAAGTGGTCTAGATGACAGGTCTCTGACAGAAATACAATGTTTGCAGGATTTAAATACCTCTAGTGGATGTCACTGACAAATAAAATTTGACTATTTCTATTAGCAGCATTTTATCACACTTGCACACTAGCCTCCTAATGCTTTCCTTTGGGAAAGCATTGGACTGGCTGAGATTATCAGTATTCAGTTAATGCTTAAACCCCCAAACACACACACACCACAATACAGCCAACAAAAAAATTCAGCCAAGACACATCACATTACATTACACACAGCTTGTATTTTTGAGCTGTTATGACTAAGTCATGTAAAAGACCGGAGTAAAATGTATCGGACAGGGGCCGAGAGAGGCACAATTTCAGTGTTTGCATGTTTTATGTGTATAAATAATAGGTTTAATTAATATGCCAACATTTGCCATGCAGTCATTTGGTAAGGATAGTGATAAATATAAATACAAAATATTATTCAAATCCAAAAATATTCCATGCACTCTGACCACCAAAATATCTTGCCTGGTACTAGACATAACACTATTTATCAATGCATTTCAATAAGATATCAACACTCTGGGTCTTTTAATCAAGAATCTCTTTATTCCATCGCTAAATCACAACATCACAGTTCTGATAGAAACATTCTTCAAGACAATTTTAGCAGTCCTGAAGATACCAGAACCAAAAAATTGACTTTGTGAATTAATAAAGAGAATTCTTGATTAAAAGACCCAGTTCTGGTATTGTATCAAAATGCATACAGAATATTATTGGTTTGTCATTAGTTCAGTATCTAGCTTCCTGCTGCTAAGATGTAGGTATTCAGGATATGTACTACTTTGTGGTGTATATAATACAAAGCATCAAATAGATTTGATTTATTGTATTCCTTCATTGGGCTTAAAATACACTATTATCCACGTCCTAACATACATCTGTTACTACAGAATTATGAGGGACACTCCAGTTAATCCACTATTTTTAAAGAATTAAAATAAGAAACTAGAAAAGCTAAAATTTCTGGGGAAATTGTGTGAAGTGTTCTAGCCTCCACCAGTAGTCTACAACTGGAGTGGGCGGAGTAACTGTTGTGTGATTGGAGTGGCTGGAGTAACTGTGGAAAGGTTGGACTGGGCAGAGTAACTGTGTGGAGTGTTTGGAGTGAGTAAAGATAGTAAACATTACACTAAACAATTGATAGATCAAATTTAAAAAGTGCACATGGCAAGCTTGATAGTGTGAGAAATGCATTTCAACTTTTATTTATTTATATAGCACATTTAATTGCAACGTTGTTGCCCAAAATGCTTCACAGTTACATTAAAACATACATTTATAAAAACATTAGCAGGTGTACAAAAGGCCCTGTCTATGACATCACTTGCTGCTCCAGTCTGGCACAAGTCAGAGTATTTTGGAGGCTGCCATCTTCAAACAGTCGTATTTTAAAAACTATAAATGCTACAGCGAAGAGCTTTATATTGTGAGAATCACAAGACCCAGACCTACTATTTTGATGCATAGTATGTCTCTGAAATGAAAAAAATGAAGGCACAGTCTCAGTGTTTAGAAATTGCCCTTCAAATTTTAGGTGGCTAGAGTGGAGTTTCAATGAATGTCAATGGACCGCATGAGTTGCAAACAAATGGTCATATTGTGAAAACTATCAGGACTATGGCTTAGCCGTGGACATTTTTAGTGGCAGCGGGGATAGCTGAACATTTTGATATAAGATTTGTGTAGGTGGGCTTGAAAATGAGGGAGTGGTGGTAGTTTAGAAATCATGTCCTAATTTTTCAGCTTTTGTCAGCTCCCACTCTAGTTTTGAACATTTCGCCATTCATTTCTATGGGACCAATTTCACCACAAAAACGACGAAACGTTCCACAAAGTAATAGCACACCAATCAGGAACAATCCGCACGTTTTGGTACATTACTGTCTATGTAGTGTAAAAACTGTGGTAGGAGTTCGGGTGGTAAATTTGGCTATAATAAGAATAATATATATGTGAGATAACATTAAGTGGTCTTGCTATGCAAGAACACTTAAATAAAATGAAAAACATTGGGGGAAAAATACAGAAAAATATATATCTGAAGCTCCTGTATTTTCTGCAAAATTCTCATGTAATAAGCACAAAATCCAGAAGTGACTCGCTTAATTTTCTTTAGCCCTGTTGTGCTTATTCCATTAGCAGTATTTCATATTCTCAGCCAGGGTTTCATGAATCTTAGTGTGATGGTCAGCTATTCTTTAACATATAAATAAAAAATTTCAGAAACCTAAACCATGATATCACACATAACAGAATTAATGAAGCAAAAAGAGAAATACTGAAAGGTAAAGGAGCAAAACCAATTTAAAAAAAAAAGAATCTTGGATAATTACAGAAACAAGCTAATAGCACCTAACACGTGTTCTTGTGGAGTATCTAATTATATAAATGTATCATTATTTTGTTCAGAATAATTTCTATCAAACGTAGCTCATTAAAACACATTTACAGTGATAAAACACATCACGTGTTTCTTGAATACTGCATGTAAATCACAATTCAGTCCACTGTCAGTCATACAGTATTTCCCATACCATTTAAATTAACTTTTTATACTTAACACATAGAATCTCATTAAGCCAATCTGGTGGTCAGATTATTGCTCCTGATATGAGAATTAGTTGTTTATTACAAATAAGAATAGCACCTTACCTGTTGTAAGACATCGGTGAAAACACTCAAATATTCTTTTCCATGATTTCTTTTTTGCTTCTTGTCAGATTTGTGTGAAACGGGCACCAATGACTTACCAGTGTTACTGGTTTGACTGCTGTTAGCAATGGATGCATCTAAACTGCTATCCGGAGAACTTGCTGCAGGAAGCTGTGATAGTCCAATTTCAACGTTTTCAGAATCCACAATTTCATATAATTCGAATGGGTCCATGATGGTGTTAATCGAGACATATTTGGCAGGATTACTGTGCTCCACCACTTTCCGTGAACTACAGGACAGCTGCTTGTTAGACTTGTTGTAAAACAGTGCGAGCCACATGTGTAGGATTATTTTCACATCCTCTACTTTCTCTTTTAAATGGGGATTCCATGGTCTATATACAGAAAATATATATGAAATACATAAAACATTGCTAACAATAATACATTTATTTATAAAACTTTACAATGAAGGATATATTGATTTTTCTCTCTTTAAGAATCTATTAAATGTATATAAAGCTAGAATGACATGACCCAATTGAAAAGAGATATATATTCTTACAAAATACAAAATAAATTCGCAACTGTGTATATTATATGTCACATACCCATGTAGAGCTCGGTTTATAGTTTTCTCAAGAGGATCACTAGTAAATTTGCTGTCCAAATCAAAATCATATTTCGCTTCCCAATTAAATGTAACCAAGAAGTTGTTTCCGAACTTCAGTACATCACGTGGTTCTTTCTTTACAACAGGGCATAGAACCGGAGTGTCACTGGTCAAAAATATAATCTCGTTAGGGAAGTATACGTTTGTTGCAGGTTCAAACACAACCTCTGTAGACGCAGGCAAGGTGCTGGTATCATTTACAGTCTGATCAGCAGGCTCCTTTGAATCAACTGAAATCGGACTGGCAGATGCCAAGTCAAGAGGGAGTTGGGAGTAAGAATGCTCAAGGCAGATCTTGCTTGTGGCAATACTTCGTGCTTTTGCCTTTGCAACCGCAAAATGAACTTTTGATACAACAGATTTTTCACCACTTTCAATACTTTTTGGTGATGTACTGTTCACTTGGTTTGCATCACTTTCGATGCTGGGTTTGTCTTCTATCGTTGTTTGACTCGATTCCTGGGACTGTACAAAATGAATAGCACTGTCAGCTGCTTCACTTGAGTCAGAACTTTCTGGATTATTTAGACTTTTATGGTCTTGATCTTCGACCACTTTCTCTTCTACGGTTTTCTGTTCGGCTACGGGTTCAGGCTCTGTAACAGCATTCTCTACTGGTGCATAGGGAATGCCAGAAGTCCCAAAAGAATTTAGAGCTAAATCAGCCAATAGGTTAAGGGCATGTGCCTCATACATATTCATCCTTTTCTCAAAAATATTCTCCATTGGAATATCAGCAGAGGAAACCGTCTTTGAATCTAAATTGGGCCTTTCCTCTAAAGTGTTAATAGTGTTTTCTTGCTCACTTTTTAAATTGTCTACATTTCTTTTTGAATGTCTCACAACTGCTTCGGCATGTTTATTAACAAGTCTCCTTAGGTTTTCCAACTTTGCTTTAGACTCAGACAATGCAGTAATAGCTAAATCAGAAGGAGAGAAAAAAACAGGACTGTATAAAACTCTTAAATTAAAAATGGATAACATTTGCATATCGTTCCAATGTTCTGGGCGCCGCCATCTTTGTGTGGGTAGATGAAGTCCCTGTGGGACACGTCAACTGCCCAAACTAGATAGTGCTGTGAAATTCCCGCACATGCCCAATTAAACACTTGGGCATACGAAAGGGAATTTCATTCATTCGTCAGAAAGACGAATGAATGAATAGAAATGTCAGACAAACAAACACTGAATATCAGTGTTCGTTTGTTTGTTCAGTTTATTACAAGGAGGGAGCTACCGGCGCGCATATCCCTCCTTGTAAAATGTAAAGATAGAAGAGCCAGGGAGCAGTGCTCCCTGCCGCTTTATAAGCCCCCCTTGTCAATATGACCCCCATAATAACATAAGGGAGATTAAAATCTCTTGAATGCCCTTACTCGCTATACCCTGAGGGGTGGGTGTGGGCCCTAAATAACAATAGGGGGAGGGGGGGGAGGACACCTACTGTCCTCCCCCCAGCCCCCACCCCCGAATGGCGGGTGCCCTATTTTTTTTTACAAGTTTGACGGCTATTATTGTTTTTATTTGGCCTTTTTTGTGGCTGAAAAATTAAGATTTTAGAAAAAAGGAGACACCAAATGGTCAGATATTTTTATTTATTTTTTTACAGGTAGTTATTTTATTTCCCCCCCTCACTATTTTTAGGGTGAAGGGGGTAGGTAGGGGATTATTTTTTATTTAGGGGGGTAACTAGGTGCTTGGGGACCCCTAGTCACCTTGGGGGGAGGGGGCATTTTCATTTAGGGCCCCGACCCGCCGCTCAGGGGTGGGGGCCGTGGGGTAGGACAATAGGTCCCCCCCTCCCCCCTTTATTGTTATTTAGGGCCCCCACACACTGCTCAAGGGTAGGTTTCAGGGATGGGGGTACTAGTTTTTTTTGTTTGTTTGTTTGTTTTTTAACAGTGAGCAGCCAGAGGCTGCTCACTGTTTGCTAGACATGTCCCTACTCGCGATATAGCGAGTAGGGGCAGCATTTACTAATACAAAGTAATCTTTACTTAGTATTAGTAAATGTGGCTGAAAGACCAATGGAGAAACTGAAAGACCAATGGAGAAACTGTTCTCATTCTGTTAGGATGCAATTCGACAGTTTTGCCGGCGTTCTGTCTAAGTGACAGAATGTTCGGGAATACTGACAGGAAGCATCGCGGGAACAGGGAGGGAAGCTTAGAATTGTGGGAAAATTTCTCTGACCACCGGAAATGAAGCACACTTTGCTCCTCCGCTGGTCAGAGATGGTCAGGCGTAGGAAACCTCCATAAGACAAATAGTCCCTATTTTGTCTTATGTTTTAAAGAAAACTAGAGCAGACAGGAAGAAATGAAGAACAGATCCTGAGAGAAGAGGAATCGATTAAAGAAAGGTAAGTTTGGCATGACAGTGCCGCTTTAAGATATAATACAAGTATCACAACATCTAAACTTACTGCTTTCTAACAGAATTTTGTAGTGATGAGCTTTCAAGAAAACCTCCTTTTATCATTAAATCAAAAGCATTTCTGAACAAAATGACACATGCACACAGGACACAGTATGTAATATGTGAATTAAAGCAGCACTGTCACCGTTTGGGGACTTTGCTAAATTCACAATTCTGGTGGCCGAGGTGGGCAGGTAAAGGTGAGTTTACTTACCTGAACCCGTCCCCAGTAGGTGCCGCCATCTTGGTCTCTGTATTTCTCTTGACTAGTTGGAGTATTCGATCTATAAGATTCTATCTTTATAAAATACTCAATTTACAGGGGGTCATGACAGTGCAGCTGTTAAGCAACCACAGGGCAGATAATATACATATCTAAGGAATACATGTAAAGAAATTTAAAACGTAAATACACCATTCTAGCTAAAGGGTCATACATTTTCTGACCCAGAATGAAAGGGGAAAAAAAGGAGGGAAAACAAGAAAAAAAAATGAAGGCAAAACAAGAAAAACACACGTTAGTGGAAGAGACAGAATAAATTATCTAGAGGTGACAATTACAACTTTTACATATTTTATGCTTTATTAAATGTATCTGTGTGCTACATTTTTACTAAAAATAAAAATATGACTCATTGTTTTCATATTTCACCTTGCTCTGAAGCTTTGCGCTTTGGAGGTCTATCAGGAAGAATAGGTTGCTGTGGAGGGACGACACTTCTACTTATTCTAACTGGCATTATTCTGGTAGGGGGACGGACTGCAAGCTCCTTCTTTCTCTTCTTACTTGAAGCTCCTTTCTTGTCAAGATCAACCTTGTTATCTTGGACAAACTCGGCAGTCAGCACTTCAGCTCCTATAGGAGTGTTTAACAAAAATTCACATTCATGGACAAATGCTCAAACTACATTACATTTATTATTAACAAAGCACCAACCACCATGCATTTAATATCAAGAAAGATATTTATGGAGAATTAAACATTGACATGGACATGAATGTTGAACTTGATGGATTGGAATATTTTTTTTAAGGAAAGATTACCATGTAACATTTTCTCAAATAAGAATTCTCAGTATCATGATCAGTCAACCGCATTGCCTACCAGTTTATCAACAGTGAAGGTAAAAGATAAACGGACATACGTTAACTAACCTCTTTTTCTTTTGTGCGATAACTGAGGGCTGGCAAGTTTTAGCATAGTTTTGCTTGTAGAACTGACCAGTGTCTGCTCTTCAGAATGTGAACTGTGCCTTTGAATGTCTGATTTAGCCTCCATTTTCTCAGGAGATGGAGAAGACATCTGAATTTTTGTAGCTTTGCCTTTCCTTGATCCTTTCTTTTTGCCTTTTTTTGAAGGGCTTTTCTTTTCATGTACTTTACCGTTTGGCTCTTGTGTAGCGTTTGACTCTGGTCTAGTCTCTGCTGCCTGTGAGTCATGCACAGTTACCCCTGTTACCTTAATACTAGACCCGTTACCCACATTCATGTCTGGAGATTCTTCAGCCACAAGGGTTAATGCAGTTAGCACAGATACACAGAAATTAAATGGGGATGAAATGTAAGCCTGCAGCTTTGCAAAGTCAGTACGACTGCAGCCTTCCTCACCACTCTTTCCTGTGTTTACATAAGGATCCTCACGCAAGACAGGTGCAGGGTCCAGAAGATGCATGCCAAGCTCTGAAGAGTCCTTTTTCTTTTGGAGGACAGCATAGTTTTTCAAATACTGTTCCACTAAAGCGTCAGGGAAAAGCTCCTTCTCCTTGCCTGAATTGCTGGTTTCCGAGATGGCATACTGAAGACATGGCAATAAACGTGTCACTTTTAAAGATATGTCTTGCTTTGTGAACTTGCTTTTCCATTCTTCTGCCTCTGCAATGAAAAAAATATTTCTTTAATCACTGTGTTATGTTTACTCTGTAAAAGCATTAGAAAATAATATGGAGTTTGTTTCAACAAGTAGTATTACTTTTATGAAGTCTGTTATGTTAAGTTTATACTAGTGCTATACAAATTCCAGCAAAAAAAGGCCTACAAATGCCTACCCATATATATGTATTTTCTAAAGAAAAAGATCAAGTGAATTGTTCATACATCCAAGCTCCTTTTAGAGACAATTAACACTACTTGTATGAGGAGTACCAATCCATTTAAAAATTAATTTATACCCCACAAGTTAATGATTCCTCTAGTGACCACTACAAATGTTAAATTGCTGCTGATCTGCACAAAAGAGATGCTTTTAATATAAAACTGCATCCTCTCATTGTAGAAGTGAACATTCAGTGCAGGGTAGTCTATTAAATATTTTATTCATTATAAACATTTATAATAAAATAAAAGTATCAGCGATCTATTTCCAAACATGTAACCTAATATGCTGGCTGGAGTAGGATGGATCCTCAATTGTGTCACATCCATATTAAAAGTACATAATCACTATAGATAAGCTCACTGACACCACAGATTTTTGCCTGAAGATTTGGAATGTCAAACTCCAGAAGCATATGGGCCAACCATATCATTTTGAAGACTACTAGCCCCTCACATGCCCTGTCCACCTTTTGAGTCAATCTCGGTCTTTACACTTCTCTCCTTTCCCTGCATTTCATCTCAGCATTTCTTCTTTTTCCTACTCTCACCTATCTATTCCTCGTTTTGCGTGAGAATCTTGGCCTTTGTTTTACTAACTTTAGTAATTCAGAACTTATTGTATTTAAATATAAATATAATTGCTGTATATTTTAAATAACTGGACTTGTCCCAAACATAAAAGCAAAATGAAAGGAAGTCACTACGATTGATCGTTTTTAAACATGAACCTTTTATTAACCTCCATATAAAATTATATTCTTTAACATTAGACATATAAACAAGCATGCAAAAAAGTATATAATATATCTATACGCATAAAAAAAAAAAGAGCAAGTGTGTAAAATATATTTACATCCAGATACTTCCCTACTTGACGTCCCATACTGGCCATAGCGTAAACAAGACAATTCTACTGGGCTTCGAAGGAAAACAAAGGTATAGATAACCTGATAGCCGGAGAGCAGGGAGGCTTAACAGGTTCATTCTGACATTATTAGCCTCATTTTGGCATTTAAGTGACATTGAGAGGAAGCGACTCACATGATCTTTCTTAAACATAATATGCCATTTTCAAATCAGTCTGAGCACCTTACATATGTCCTAATGGTCATGTTCAACACATCAAGCAAATGTGGTCTATTTAAAGGGACACTATACTCACCACAACAACTACATTAAGTTGTAGTTGTTCTGGTGACTAGAGTCCGTCCCTGCAGCATTTTCACGTGAACACTGCCTTTCAGAGAAACACCTCAAGTGGGAGTTACTCAATTGGCCACTAGAGGTGCTTTCTGGGTCAGTGCTGCACTGATGTTCAGTGTCTTCAGGCTGGAGACACTGAACATTAATCATAGAGATGCATTGACTCAATGCATCTCTACGATGAAATGCTGATTTGCCAGCGCTGCGCTGCACTTGGCTCTGTCCCCCGTCCCACCTCCTTGGCTGAGATCATCAGTGTTGCCCCTCAGCCAATCCAATGCTTTCCCATAGTGAATAGTGTTTGTAACACTATAGGGTCAGGAATGCACATTTGTATTCCTCATCCAGTAGTGTTCCTTTAATGATGTTGTGAAATTTATGTTGGATAACACTGGTTGGGTCTTTTATTATGTGTTTCAAAAGTTAAATTTACCTTTATAGTGCCCACTCAGTGCAGGTGCAGTTGAATATTTTGTAATTTTTTTATTTTTGACAGATTATTCATGTATATCCTGGTATGCAACAATCGTCTTGGGAGAAAATAAGTGCATCTCATCTCATTTACTACATTTTTTTTATTATTATATTATTTATATAGCGCCAACAAATTCCGTAGCGCTGTACAATGGGTGGACTAACAGACACATAATTGATATCAGACCACTGACGTACAGGAACAGAGGGGGTGGAGGACCCTGCTCGATGAGCTTACATGCTAGAGTTATATAATGTGTATATACACAAAATAAATGGTGACAATTTTAATCTTTTTACCTATTTCTCCTACTATCTTCGTATGAGGGAATACAAATAGGACAATAAAACGAGAGGAATCATCCTGTGTCAATTCTGTTCAAAACAAAAATAAGAGTTTAATTACACACATCACAACAGGAAACAATTTTTATTTATTTTTTTAAATACAAATCCTTTAGTTACCTTTGTTGGGCTGAATTACTGAGGACGGCAACAAAATAAGAACGCCCTGGTCATTCAAAAACGTGACTAATGCCTACAAGTAGATAATTACAAACATTAATTATGATTTCTCAGAGTAAAATAAGATAAAAAGCCATTAAAATATTACATTTGGTTTTCTTATTGTATTTGTTCTCACAAAATAAAACCATATGTAACATTTAGCATTCTAATTATTGTAGGACAAGTTCTTGATAGTTCTGAACACTCACAAACTGATATGGGTGGCTCATTGTAGTTAGCTAAAGCTATTGTGGTTAGCTAAAGCAGTATGTCATATATTTGGCATCCTGGGATATGCTAGTCAAAAGGTTTTGAAAAGTTATGTTACTTTCACGGTCAGTGTCCTTCTCTGATTCTGAATGTTATCACATTAACCAACTGAAAACAAGCATCATTGGTCAGTATGGAATACTTAACATTATATAACTACCACTAACCTTATGCAACAGTCAGTTTATAGATTCCCTGTAATGCCAAGGAGTACGCTTGGCCTACTTCTGCAGGATGTTGTTTTGATATGTACAGAAGTAAACATCATACATATTAAGGAATGCGACACTTTGCCAAGCCATATCTCACTGTTGTGGCTACTGAAATCTTAAAGCGTGTCTGAAATTTGAACTGCTGTCAACTCTTTGTCAATTCCCATATTGGTCTTAAAGGCATCCACCTTCTTGTTCATTACATGATTAGATCTATTAAGGCTTTACATGAACTATAGGTCATAACGGTTTCAAAGAGCAATCTGATATTCTTCCCCCAACTGTATTATTTTGACCTAAATTTTGCTGCTGGCCATTTCCTGTAATGTACAGAGTTTACATTTCTAAATAATGGTATAACCCATGACCCTCAAGAAAGGAGCAAGACTGTTGACAGATGACACTTTAAAAAGGTACACTCTGAGCACTAAAATGACTTTAACTAAAAGGGAAACTATAGTGTTAGGAACACGGAGCTGTATTTTTAACACTATAGTTACCTCTGCCTCACCCCTCCCTCGGGCCCCCTCCCGATAAAGGGTTAAAACCCTTCAATGCCCTGCCTCCTCCAACATCATCCGATAGACATTAATAGGGACACTGTACCCAGGCTACTTCAATTAGCTTAAGTGGTCTGGGTGCCTATAGTGACCCTTTAATGAAGTGATATAGATGTATAAATCATGTCCTTGCAGTCTCACTGCTCAATTCTATGCCATTTAAGAGTTAAACCACTCTGTTTATGCAGCTCTGGCCCAACCTTTGTCACTTACCTGATGCCAGCGTCGATGTCGCTTTGCAGACATCAGCTGGTGAAGGGGATCTAATGCGCATGTGCGGCAAGCATTGGGATCGCATTAGGATTTCCTCAGAGGAAAGCACTTTTGAGTTTGAGTTTTAGCAGACGCTGGATGTCCTCATGCAAAACGTGAGGAAGTCCAGCATCAGTTAGGGGACCAAAAGTCTGCTAAGCACCACTAGGGGCTGTCTGGTAGATAGCCATTACAGGTGGAGTTAATCCTGCAAGGTAATAATTGCTGTTACTCAATAACTGCAATAATTACTGCACCCAGACCACTTCAATGAGTGGAAGTGTCTGTCTACCTATAGTGTCCCTTTAAGATTGTGACCAAAGCATGTAGGTAGGACAAAAGACACAAAAAAAAAAAAAAGGAGAGACTCCCAGAAAGATCTAATCTTGGGACAGCACCGGTAACAGTGCAGTTACACAAGTAGACACTGTGCCAATGTTAGCCCTAGCCAATTGGAAGAGATTAATATACCAGCGTGCCAGCACCTTGTAATAAAATCCCTTATTCAGAATTGATTAATATGCATTGTGTAAGTGAAGATAGCAATCAAGTCATCCTTTTCTAGTTTGTTGCCCAGATCAGCCTCCCATTTGTAAGTATTGTGCTCTCTGTCTGGGTAAGATAATGAAATAAAAGGCCTGTACAACTACTGCACAAAGTAGCCAGCAAAAATGGAAGTTTAAATTTCTCCACCAGGTGTGCTATAGTGACAAACGAGACCTGCGCCACCATGTGGTGGACATTGGCAAGTCCCTTGGGACTTCGGAAAAGCCCCCTCTGTGATATCTAGATTATGAAAAAGAGAATGTAGTCTGCTACACTCTGTGGAGAGAGCACCTATAAACCTGAGTGCTGCAGTATTGGGCTTACGAGGCTTAGGGTGCCACAAGAGGGTGGGTAATAGTCCAGTATGGCTTATCGCCTATTACGAGGACATCCATCAGGTCTTGTTGGTAGTCAAATTTATCTAGGATAGCATAGCAAATTAGGCTGCCTTATGGTAGATACGCGAGTGTGCAACTGCTAAGCACCCCACCCCTTTTTAAATTGCGCAATAAGGACTTAGAAAACCTGCTCCTTCTGCCTTCCCAAATGAAAGTGTAAATATCTGCCTGGTGTGAAGTATGCATGAGCAGCAACAGTATGGAGAGAAACCTGTACAAGGCTTTAGGATGTAGTGTAATTTCATTCCATATTAGCTGTAATTAAATAAGAAATCTCTGATACTGTTGCTGGCATGAAAATAATTAAATTTAAAACAATTTTTAAAAATAAATGAAAACATATACCAAAGCTTCTTGAAAAAATAAAATGATATATTTTTTAAAAAAAATCTATTTAGATACCATATTTACTAAACAAACAAGATACCAGTAAAAGAAACTCATTTGCAAGATAGTCAACAACAAAAAATGTAAAAGTACAGAGCGGAGTGCAAAAAACATTAGGTTTCACTTTCTGTTTAAAATGGAAAGTGGAAGCAAAGTCCACATGAATAGAATAAAAGCAGGGTTGTGTAGAAATGGATGAAGATTCAGAAATGAGTTGTTGCTCATACTTCACAGCTCATGAACTAGTTAATTCCATTCTTATTGTGGATTTTTGGATATCATAAAAAAAAACATTTGACCCTGAGCTGCACTAAAATCTAAAAATGACAACTGATGCAACGATCGATGCAACTATCAAGATCACACCGTCAAACTGAGAGACTACACAAACACATCTGAAGAGGTAAGAGTTTACATATTACATCAAATTGATCAGCAAGTTTTCTTTTTTCCTTTCTTTGTACAATAATTGTAACAACAGTTGTAAAGCTAGTTCTATATCCACTGCATGCATTATTTGTACAGAAGGTAATTTAATTTTAAGACAGACAAATCACTTCACATGTTGTGAAATATCCCCATTAGGATTGTGAATTTAAAGACACAAACCTTAAAAATGCAAGGAAATAAAAAGTAGGAAATAGTATTCAATAAAAACAACAACGACATGTCTTTAAAATACTCATAATGGGACACTGCATTTTGGAATTAAGAAGTCAAGAATTTGAAATTAAAGGAATATTCTAATCATCATAATTATTTCAGCGTGATTTAAAGAAATTTAGAGGAATACAGCTTTGTATTCCGAATGCTATAGTGTTCTTTTAAGCACGGCCAATACAGGACCTGTCTTCGTGGTTGAGATCTCTGAGCCAATAAGTGTGTGACATATTTGACAAATTACACCGATATGGCACCATGGCACTCCTGGCAACATACCCATTGCAGTGGGCTATAACTGCTTTGGAGCTTGGAGTATTTGTTTAAAAAGATACACATGAATATGTATATATGCAAAAAATAAAATAAAAAGCTTATATTTGAAATTGATGCATCAACAATAATTTCCCATGGCGGTCATCCAAACACCATTGTCCACTGAACAACAAGTCACAGAAACCTTTACTGTGCTTCCTGAATAGATGAATAACTGTATTATTGGAGACACGTTACAGGAATGTACAGACAGAAATAGAGTTGTATCATACGCATATGAAAGAAGGTATTTTAAATTGGATGTATGGTGAAAATGCAAAATGCTGCAAATTTTTTTTCATTTGCAAAAATTAAGCAAATTTGATTATAAAATTCAGGTAATGGTTATTATTACTGGTATTTCTAAAGCGCCAACATATTCCACAGAGCAGTACAATCAGGGAAATCGACAGTACAGTACAGGTGGTCCTCATTTAGCGACCTACCTGTTTTACGACGGCTCCCACTTACGACCATGCGTGGGGATCCCCTGCTCTGGTGCGCATGTCTATGTTTGGGGAAACGCCCCCGAACATAGACAAACACACGAGAGCAGGGAATCCCTCAAATCTATGTTCGGGGAAGTTTCTCCGAACATAGACATGCGCACCAGAGCAGGGAATCCCCACGACGGATACCTACCTGTTTTACGACGGCTCCCACTTAAGACCAGGCGTAAGAGCAAGCCGCCGTGGGTATTCCCTGCTCTGGTGCGCATGTCTATGTTCGGGAAAACTTCCCCGAACATAGACGAATGCACGAGAGCAGGGAATCCCTCAGATTAGAGGGGTTCCCTGCTCTGGGGCGTTTGTCTATGTTCGAGGAACTTTCCCCGAACATAGACGAACGTACCAGAGCAGGGAATCCCTTAACTCCTCACTTGCCGACCAATTCGTTCTACAGGAACGGAACCCAGTCAGTAAGTGAGGAGTGTCTATAAAGACAAACCAATATAAATGGAATAGAAGACAAAGTCCATGAGCGGAGATCTAGTATTTAGAGCCTTTTTATAAAAAAAGAGTACTAAGCAAAATAATTCTTGAGCTTACAATATAAAGGTTATGGTGGGGATTTAAAACAAGAGGGAGCATGGGAGATTTGAAGATAATGGCTTGGAAGCCAAAGAGCATTTGCACAGACTGCTGAGGTGCAAGGTAATTTAGTCCCAGAGGCATTAAAAACAGTACATCGAAGTTGCATTGGTGTCTGGAGTTCTCTAACTTTCACGGTCTCTATTGAGATTTGAAGTGTGTGGTTTTAATAAAATTGAAACTAGTTGTTTCAGGTAAGGTGATTTAATTTTGCATGAATGTTTAAAAATATTATCATGGAACAATTTTGTATGTGCTCCCATAAATTGCAATTACCACATCACCCCACACCAACTACACAAAAACTGAAGGGTTTGCAGAGAACATTATACGTCAGCCTCCTTCCTAAACACTAAGGACCATCTGTGGTGAACTGAAACCGACCTCTGTGGTTCCAAGCCCAGATAATGTGGATTCCGGTCAGGCGAAGTTTAGAATGGTTGCTAAATTTTAATTTGTGTAGTTGGACTTAGGATGTGATCAATGTCCATTAAGTATTAGTTAGGATGTATCGGTATCCTCTCCTTTCTCAGTGTTTTACCAGCCAGTTTTTGCCCTATTGCTCATGGAGAGGTTTTCCAGACCAGACCAAACTAGCTGCCTTGTCACTACCTTAAAGCGGCACCCTCACTAAATAGAAACAAAGTAAAAATCACTGTTTAGTATAGAATGAAAACTTGCATTTAATTATGCATTTATGCAATGGGGTATATCTAGACACAGCTTGCAAAGGTGCAGATCTCTTGTCTGAAGCCTTTGCAAGCCCTCCCCATCTAACCCAGACCAGAATTTTTGTGTCTGTCCAATTACTGACTTTCCAATCCAGCTCAATGATAATCTTTGCAAGGCAGGTACTTTGGGTAATTGCTGCCTCTTGAGTTAACCAAACCAGTCTAATTGCAGCCAGGGGGTGTAACAGGATTAGGGGACAATATAGGCACCTAGACCACTTCATCTTATAAATTCAAGGTTTGCCTATCGTTGAAATATGAGGTTGTGTCACTCCATCAGTGCCTGGCTGATGGTTGTGAAGTACCACTGAAAAAACTCAGGTTGCAAGGCAAGAAGTGTTAGAGTACCAGTGACTCCTGGATTACCCTGCAGGCATGAATAAGTAAAGTATGCAGTAGCAGATTCAGGCAAGGATTGAAAGTTAGGACTAGGCACCATGATCCTGTAACAACATTCCAAGTCACACTAATTTAGCACAGCCATTATTAATGAGTTACTCCATTGATTTAGAGTTTGCATGGTGTCTGGAGTCTGTATATGAAGTGTTTCACTATGAAATGCTGTACATACAGCCCTCTGCTCCTGGGAGTGTAAATTCACCTCTGCCATCGTCATTGGGTATCATTACGCAGCCGGAAACTCAAATATAAATTCTGTGAATCTTGGATGTCTGTCAACATACACAGCTGTGACTAATGGCAGCACTCAGCTTCCTTTATGTTACTTGTGTCCTCCCCTCACCATGCCCTACCTGGCATCCCTCCATTGTCAGCTAGAGGGAGTGACATCAGCAATAACGGGTTGGGTGGAGAGGAGAACTTGGTTTCGGCACTGGAACTAAATTTTTTTTTTACATTTTGACTAGGGAGGTAGTACAGCAATCGATTATCTTACCAAAACCAGTGTTTTCTTAAATCACTAATTTTTGGTTGGATTAATCTTTTAAGTTCTGCACATATCAGGTAATGTGCATATTAGGATTATATTTCTAGTTGTTTGCCAACTATGAGTTAACGCACATAGTAAAATATGAGCTTGACTAAACAGCATTGTGTTACTTGCAATTAAACTATGCATCATATTCACGTTTACACAAGTCTGGTTCTGACAACTATGGGCTTTGAAGACCAACAACAGGAACACAAAACAAAATCATAAAATGTTCCTTCTATCAGGTGTTTAAAAGCCACAGATAAGGTAACAACTATGCACTCCATTGGATGAGAAAATTAGGCGTTCGCTTCCAATAAGTGTTTTGCACAAAAGCATCATACACACTTTGGAAACCCTGCCATAAGTATTGTACAATTATTTAAATAAAAATGTGGCATTCACATATAGATTTTTTTAATGTATTTTATCTAAGCCCAATCCAGAACATACGCCAAGGAAAATGTTCAGCAATTTAACACTTTATGTATCTCTCTATAAAATTTGCCTGCTTTATATTATGTAGTAAGGATTTGTATGATAACTTACATCCTTCTGAAATAAAGAATGTACTATTGATTAAATTATATGAGTGTTACATAAAAAAAATAAAAAAAAATAAGAGGCCTTGGACATGCTGGCTTTTTAACAGAAAAAAATAAAAAAATAATAAACAGGAGGGATGCAAATTGAAAAATTCTTGCACTCCTCTGTTACATCAAAATGTGCTATTCTTACCAGTTCTTTGTCTTGCATCCACTGTTGTAATCTCCCCAGGTGACTTCCATCATTTTTAGAGGTCAACACTTGATAAAAGCTGCAGTATACACTTTCACAACATACTAGGAAAAGGAAAAACACCATGAAGCAACATGAAAAACAGCACAAAAGCAAGAAATGAAGCAAACAATATGTTTTAGCTCTTTACTAAAATGCACTCCTGCGTTTAATATCTGTTTTAGCTTACCATATTCCATAGGCTTTTTAAAGGTAATGTTGTTGAAAACAATATAAATGAAATGAGCTTAACAGAGACCTAGAAGTAATGTGACAGGCCCAAACGAATTTAGTTATGTTATGTTGATTAGTTATCACAAGCCTGCTGGATAGCCACTTGGCAATTGGTGCCAGTGAATTTGTACTACCAGAGAGGGCAGGGAATGGCATTATAATCATAACGGTGGGAAAATTAAATGTAAGAATACATACAGCTGGTATGTATATTACATTGTTAGATCTACCCTGAATTATCATTAAAAAAAAAACCACAAAATATCTTTACTGTTTTATAGAGGGACATCTCTACTAATACAATGCCATAAACTATAGTATAATGTATAGTGGGTGACTTTTTAAACCCTTCTGCTTGGGTAAGTACCGTTTTGTATTGTTTCAAATGTAAAACTTTAAGTAAAAAAATAAATAAATACAAACTTAAATACCTTCTTGCCCAATCAAACTGGTCTTCTCAAATATGTCATCTGGTAATGCTTTTATCAGCTCAGGTAATTGAATTACTTCTTTAATTACAAGCTTCTCTGATCTGTATATGCAGAAAAGTAAAATGTGTAATACAACTGTATGAAGGAATGATACATCTGAGAGCTGAAATACTTTCTAAGAGTACTGGCAGCTAACCAATTCCTGATGAAATACTGTATGACACTTTGCACAAATCTGGAATGTTTCGTGCCGCTGTATCCTATGAATCTGCCGGCTGTCTATAGCAGCTCTGTGACCAGGGCCAGATTAACATAGGGGCTTATGGAGCTGCAGCTGAAGGCCCATGTAATCCCAAAAAGTTTTTGGTGGCTGGTATTTTATGGTAAATGAGGCTGCCTGGCCAGTGCCAGTATTGCAGTAAAACCAGCAATACAAATGCTGGCATATTTCTATGTATAAACAGAGAATACTCTGCAATACCTGCGCTGGCCAGTAGGGGTCACGGTGTGTGGAGAGAGGTGGGTGTAGGAAGTTACAGCATATCCCTCCCTGCCACTCTCTACTCACTGATACGCGGGGGAACAGCTACACAGCACAGAGAGTCCAGACAGCAGCTCCCAGCCTGCAGAGACAGCCTACAGCTCAGGGAAGTGAGGGATGGGGTAAAGGCTGCAGGGAGACATGGGGACACTGTGAGACACAATGGGACAACAGGTGACCTGGGAACACTGAGAGACCTGGGGACACTGGAAGATCAGGGGACACTGAAACACTAGGGGATGCTGTGAGACACTAGGCACTTGGGGACACTGAGACACTGTGTCCCTAGCGTTTGTCTCCCCATGTCTCCCAATGTCCCCTATCTCTCAGTGTCCCTATTGTCTCAGTGTCCGCATGTCTCCCAGTGTCCCTATGTCTCAGTGTCCGTATGTCTCCCAGTGTCCCTATGTCTCGGTGTCCCCTAGTGTCCCAATGTCTCACAGTGTTCCCATGTCTCTTAAGTTTCCCCTAGTGTCCAAGTGACACTGGGAGACATGGGGCACTGAGACATTGTCATACATTGGGACACTGTGATACATAAAAGACATTTAAGACATGTTCATCTCTTTCGGCAGTTCTGATTACATGATTTGCCTCAGTGGCCCACCCTTTTACCCCGTCCATTGACTGCCTGCTTCACTAGACACTGCTGATAGGGTATGGATTTACTTGAACGATGAAAGCATTAATTAGAGAGAGATTAGCATATAGTGTCTGTTTTCTCATAGCTGCACCCTATGAGTTTCCCTTCAGCACCACTTCCGCCAGATACATGACAATTAGTAGGTATGAAAGTTTTAGTGTTTTTGGTTGATAAGATTCTGTAATTAGGCCCATCCTAATTGTCAGAACCAGGCCCACTGGGCTCTTAATCTGGCCCTGTCTGTGATCCTATACTTACCTTGCTTCAATCTGTTGCTCTTCTCTTTCTCACTAATCTGTTCTTTTTTTGACAATTTTCTCCCAAAATATATAAGGCAAAGTAGGGACTACTATGCCTTATATATTTTTCCTTCACTAAACATGTCGCTAGAAAAAGCTGGGGGAATAAGGCATTTTCTAGCTCACTGTGAGACAATTTCTATGGAGGCTAACACCAACAATGCTTAGTTACAAATGACTGTTTTATGTTACAATTTTTTTTAAATTGGTGAGAACTATATAAGCATTCAAATTTAGCAAGTACCTATTGCAAATACTTACAGTTGAGATGGAATACAGCAATTGAAAGGAGACTGGAAAGCCAAGTCACATATCAGTTGGTCATGCACATACAACTGTCCCTTCCAAACATTGTAAATAGCTAAAGAAGAAAATTCAAATAAGAGTGCATGTATAACAAAACAGATTTATTTTAAAACACTGACATTATTTAAAACAGTGCAGTCCAACTTCTTTGGTGTTCTTCAGGCTACATTTTGTAGTACCAACTACTACATGTAGCCATGTGAATAATAGAATAGTAATAGAATGTAATAGTCTGCACTCACGGTCTCTGTTTAAAACAGCGTTAATTCCTTCGTGGTTAAAATGTGCACGTTGAAGTGCATACAGTGATGCCAAAACAGGTCGACGTTTCAGTGCCAGCGTGGGACTTTCCTCAGGACAGCATTTTAACCAAGAACGAATAAACGCTACGTTTTAAACAGAGACCGTGAGTGCAGACTATTACATTATATTACTAATTGTTTTGCAACGACCTGGCGTTCTCATAGTGAGTCGCATCCCAGTCTGGGATGAGTGTATGTAACTTCCGTGTGGGTGTATAATTAGTTATTGGCATTTATATAGCGCCAACAAATTCCGTAGCGCTTTACAATATTATAGGAGGGGGAGATTTAACAATAAATGAGACAATTACAAAAACTTGCAGGAACAATAGATTGAAGAGGACCCAGTTCAAGACGAGCTTACAGTCTAGAGGGGTTTGTTGTCAATGTTGTATGGGATATATATATATATCCAAGATCGTACAGCTTCTGCAGTGAGCTCTCCCCAAAAAGTGACTCAATTTATATAAAAGGAACACTATAGCACCTAGACCACTGCATCTCAGTGAAGATGCAATGATGAAATGGCAATGTTGTCGTTGCAGGGTTAACTTGTCTCTAGTGGCTGTCACACTGACAGTCACTAGAGGCTCTTTCCCTGATATAGTGGAGTAAAACTCCACTAATAAAATCTTGATTGACCAACCAAAGAATTGAAGCGGCACGCCAGAGACCAGAGCTGCAATGGAGAAATGGTAAGTTAAACTCACCTGTTTAACCCTTGCAGTGGGGGCAATGTCACCTAACTGGCCACTATAGTGTTGTAGTGTCCCTTTAAAGGACAACTGTCATCTCAACAAAAAAACTTTTTTATAATAATAATAATATCATCACATTTTAAAAATAAATAGATTTTTGTTTGTTTTAAATGAAGTATATAGGGGTGGGGGAGGTGAGAGAAAATCTCATCTCTACCTTCAGTATATGACAGGATCCTTCAGCCATATACATACACCTTTGGTCAGACAGAGTTTGAAAACAGACAGTCTCTCTGGTCTTTCCTGCTTCACTCCCTGCTCAGAAGCAGGGAAGACTATAGAGACTAACGGTCTGTTTTCAAACACTGCCTGACCAAAGGTGTATGTATATGGCAGATGTTCAACAGTATTTTCGGTAATATAACACCGCAGTTCAGGAGCAAAACAAATTATTCTAGAGGAAAAAAAAAAGAAAAAAATACAAATAAAAATGTAGCAAATGTAGTGTCCCTTTAAATGAACAAAATAACAGTTATCCTACCGTGTTCATGCAGCTGGAGCCTAAAAAAACAAAGAAAAATCAACATGTAAGCTTTGTAATACAGGCAAATTATATGCATTAAAAATGGAACACATAGTTAACGTTTTGAAACTACAGAAAAAAAAAAGCATAAACAACAAAAACAACACACATTCGCACAGTAAGTAGGCAACATATTAGGTGAACGTGATTTTTTTATTTTAAGTGCATATATATGTAAGGTTCAACAGGAATGTATTAAAAGAATTGTATGTGTTGCACTTTCCACAGAATTATCAAAATTATAATTTTTTTTGCTTACAAAGCAAATTCTGCTTTTCACATGGGCGCTATATGTGTGAATTTAGGATTAGTATTCTTTTTAAAGGGACACTATAGTCGCCAGAACAACTACAGCTTATTGTATTTGTTCTGGTGAATATAACCATTCCCTTCAGGCTATGGGGAGGGGATATATGGTGTTTTAACACTATAGGGTGAAGAATATGTGTTTGTGTTCCTGACCTTATAATGTCCCTTTAAAAGATATCCAGAAGTTCTACTATAGATAAACTAAAATGTAAGTTTTCTATATAATTATTACTTATATAGCACACAAATATAGAATGGGGATATTTGAAGGCCAATCTCAAAAGAGCATATAATCTATGAGGATTTCAGGTAGTTGGATATATATCATTAGGTGTCTTGCCAAAGACACTTACTAGCAAGTGGTCTGATTGGGTTTTGAAACAGAATTTACCAGTTCTAAGGCAGTGGCATTAACACTGCTCTAATCAGCTATTTAAAAGTTAAACTGGCTCAATATGAATGTCTTTAGGAAATGCTGAGCTTTGACATTTATCAATACTAGAGTGCTAAAACAGGAGGATATATACCCATAAAATAAAAAAGGTACTGTTTTTTCCACTTCGCTACTTTGCTAATTAAAAAGAATGCATCCACTTTTAAATATGGGATGTTACAATGATCATCTGTGGTAAGATTCAAACTTTCTATTTAGAGAAATATGAAATTCTGGAGATAGAAATGAAAGTGTACTTACTTACCTATCACAGTCTGGTGATTCTGGCATATTAGGCGTATGGCTGATGATTTAGGAACCAGTTATATATAAGCAGGGTTTTCTAATCTTCTATAAACTGCCATTTTGAGACTCATACATATGATGTAATACTAATGGACAGAGAAAAACAAAAAATTACTTGCATAATGCTAATTTTAAAACACTACATTCTGTAATTATAGTTATTAGTAAAACTACATACACTAATTTTTTTTTTTAAAGAACTTCATCAAAGACACATAAAAGGTAATGAAATGAACATGACCAGAATGTGAATTGACCAAAGATCTGATATTTTTATACTTTATCCTCTTGATTATTTACTGATAGCTCCAAAGACCAACTTGTGTCTTAAGTAAAGTATTTTAAAGAGTGTTTAAAGGGACATTCCACTGCTTAAATACAATAAAAAGTATTTGCAAGGCAATTGCTCTGAGCGATTGCTGCCTCTTGAGTTTAACGCTACTGAGCTAAACAAACCAGGAAGCAACAGAACTAATTGTCTGATTGACAGGTGGGGGTGTAACAAGGTTAAAGGACCACTATAGTGCCAGTAAAACAAACTAGTTTTCCTGGCATTATAGGGTCTTTAGCTTCCCCCCCAACCTCAGGGTCCGACTCCCGCTGCCGCTGGGCTCAAGCGGGCTGAAGGGTTAAACACTTACCTTTCTCCAGTGCCGGGCAACTCTCCTCCTCCCGACGTCAGCGCTGAATGCGCGGCAAGAGCCACACGAGCATTCAAACTGTCCATAGGAAAGCATTTCCCAAGTGAGAAGAGCTTCTAGTGGCTGTCAGTGAGACAGCCACTAGAGTTTGGATTAACCCCAAATGTAAACATAGCAGTTTCTCTGAAACTGCTATGTTTACAGCTGCAGGGTTAACCCTAGATGGACCTGGCACCCAGACCACTTCAATGAGCTGAAGTGGTCTGGGTGCCTATAGTGGTCCTTTCATTTACAAAAGTGTCAATTTCTATTGAAATCTGCGCTTTCTGAAAAATAAATTTAAATAAAAAAAACAAGCTAAAGTGCTTTAGGTGCTTACAGTGTTCCTTTACTACTTGGTCTGTGACGTGAATTGGTTACAAAATGCATTGGTGGTTGCATCCATAACGGACTTAAAGGGGAACTTTCACTTCTCTACAATTCACACCATCGAATTCACAATTATAGAAAAAAAAACACTTATAACTTGTGCTAACTTTTTTTTTTTTTTTATAGCTATTTTCTTTAAAATATATTTTACTAATTTTGCATTTCACATTATAATTCAGTTGTGAAAAGATAAGGCCAGGGCAAACACTTAAAAAGAAAAAAGTGAAAAAGAAACATTGTTTTCCTCTCTGATTGCTTTTAAAGGATCACTATAGTGTCAGGAAAACAAATTAGTTTTCCTGACACTACAGCATCCTTAGGACCCCCCACCACCCTCAGGGCCCCCTTCCTGTGGCGCTGAAGCCCTTCAGCCACTTACCTTTATCCAATGCTGGGCTCCCTCGGCACTGGTGACCTCTCCTCCCCGCCAACGTCAGCTCCCAAGTGGAGCAGAATGCGCATGCGCGGCAAGAGCCGCGAGCGCATTCAAACAGTCCATAGGAAAGCATTTCTCAACGCTTTCCTATGGAAGTTCTGCACGCTGGATGCAAATTTCGCATCCAGCGTCGCAGAAGCGCCTCTAGCGGCTGTCAGGAAGACAGCCACCAGAAGTTGGATTAACCCTGCAATGTAAACAGAGAAGTTTCTCTGAAACTGCTATGTTTACATCTGAAGAGTTAAAACCCTTTAATATTTTTGCCGCCTTGTGTCCATTATATGTAAAGGGTGTGTATAATGTATTTCTTTGTAAAATATTCTACTCCCCCTTTCCTTGCTGTTTTCTCATAAGGGCGTTGTCCCATTGTTATTTTTAGCCACTTACCTTTACCTTACTGGCTCTGCCTCCATGGCTGAGATCATCAATTTTGGTGATCTCAGCCAATCCAATGCTTTCACATAGGAAAGCACTGGGAGGCTATTGTGCACAATCAGCATCTCCTCACAGAAATGCATCAAATCAATGTATCTCTATGAGAGGCGTTCAGTGTCTCACGCCAGTGACTGCCACTAAAGGTGTTAATAGGCTGTAGTTGTTCTGGTGACTATAGCGTCCCTTTAAGTCTAAGTCCTCTGTGACTTCTTTTTGTACATTCCAATGAAAGTTGGTTTGTTTTCTTTCCAGACAACCAATGTCTTTGACTTCTTATACTACATGTGTTATCACTGAGCTGGCTCCTAGTACATTAAAAAATATAATTTATTATTTTGTAATGAAAGCTGTCACCCCCTCTCCTACTCCAACTACATTTTAAAAAGCATGAAATGTCATCTATACATTGTGCAATCAAATATATAGATCGGGAGAAATACAAATATTTAGAAATAGGTTTCTCTCCCCTGTCAATCAATTATTCGGCACAGAAGAACTGATTGCCAAGGAGAGTAGAAGGGCCCTCCCACAGGAGGTCTTTCTGCTTTCCAACCATGAAAAAAACAAAAAAAAAAAACTTTCATAACTACAGGTTATCCACATATACACTGCACTGCTGAGTTTGTTACGGACATCTACCAGGTTTGCTGGCCCTATTGAGCTCATTACTGAAACACGCCACAATTAACGTAGTACACACAGTCTTCCATGGGGTCAGCTCTTTTAAAATCGGTGTCATATCCTGACTTGAAGATTAAGGTGATTAAACCAGCAAAATGCAACATTATCGAGCGTGATGCACAGCCTGCACATACATACTACGTATGTATTTTGAGGCAGTTTCATGAAAGCGCTGTTTAATAAGCTGGCGCTATATAAATACCAGTAATAATAATAATAATAATAATAATATTGCACACAACCACCTGCCTACACAGCACCACGCTGTACATTAGGTCACTGCCATTCAGTGCAATGCATTGAGGACTTGCTGCTCTCTTATCACGGCAGTTTATTGTTGAAGGTTGCAGAAAACCGTTACAGATGACAGCCAGCAATGCAAAATGGCCCCGGCTATTTTAGGCGGTATCCATAGCAACGCACACAAGAGGCAGGCGGCTTCCTTGATCGCTCGGCTCCGCCCATTTCCCCGACGCGCCACGCAGGCATGGGGAGCCTGGGAGACCGCGGTGCATTGTTGTTGGTTTATTTGCTTCCCGTTTCCCATGAGCCTCCGGTGCGCAATGCGTCGCACTTCCTGGTTCTCGCTCAGAGAGGACGATTGCGTCACGTGTTCAGTGGTTCGCAGATAGGAAACCACTTCCTGCTGCTGCCAGAGAGCGATGGGAGGGGCTAGCACGTTATATAAAAATACAAAGTAACACATAGGGGTACACAATAATGCTGGCAGTGTGCTATTGCAGCAGTGCGACTACAAGGTCTGCTACTGCTGATTTATTTAATCAGTACAACAGATTCATATATTTATTGATTCAGTTCAAGGACATTTCCCCAGAGAGCCTGACAAAACACATTTCAAGCACAAAATTCTGTGCTAATCAATGGACTATTGGGTCAGTAAGATAAGCACAATGAAGGCAGCAGTTATGGCAAGTACAATTGACCTGAAATATAGTTACAGGGCTTGTCAACAGCAAACGAGCAGCTATTGTAAGTTGTCACTATATAAATGCCAATAATAATAAAATAAAGATTTAGTTATGTAATTCTGATCAGTTACATTTTATAATGCAATTCTTGAAATGTAAAACCAACATGTCAATCATTGAAAAATGCAAAACAGAGAGTAATGTGCAGGCACTACACACACACACAACTTGGACAAAAAGAACACAAGAAACCTTGAACGCTTGTTTTGGGCTACTTGAATGACAGCTCTGTTGGACAGCAATTCCTCTAAATTGCACAAGTTTTTGACCACTTCAAGAGCTGAAAGTCGGTGCATGGTGCTCTAAGCGCTTGCAGGGCTTAGAATTTCAAGCCCTATGCTACTAGCCAAGGCTACTTAAGTTACTTACCACTGAAAGCCTGGAAGTTACATGGTGTAATCAACCAGGGGTGACTGTCTACTCCCCAGGGCTAAATATTCACTTGCCAATGGGTAGATTTTGAGACCTGTATTAGAGTATATTTTAAGGATTCTTGTACTTTGAAAGGTTGACTTTTGTCTTCCCTCATTGGAAAATATTTATTATCCTCGTGCAGCTCAGTGATATATTTTGTACCATATTTCTGAACTTTCTGTTATCCGTCCTTCTCATCACATGCATTTTTAAAAGAAAATGTAACTAAAAAAAAAAATAAGATTTCTCACCAGCGCCTGATGTCAACTTTGAGGTATGCCACCAGTTTAATGGTCCAATCCAATGCTCTTCGTAGAAGAGCAGTGTGGACCATAGGAGCATGAGTGGTGCTTACCACGATGCGGCTATGATTCTGCAAGAGAGTATCACTGCTCACAATGAATCATTATGGCAGATGGTATGCTAGTGTGAGAGCTGGGATGTAACAGTTTTGTCTCTCCTACTTGGAGGCATGGCTTGAAGTCACACTTCCAAGCCTTCTAATTAGTAAAATACATTCATTTGGGGAACTTCTGTAGGCACTATAACTACTTTATTTAGATGACTTGGATAAGCTTAATACAAAAGGTAAATTTGCCAGTTTTATATTTTAATTGTAGCTAGAAACCCTATATAGTGAAAGAACCAAGAAGGAACATAAAATCGCATATGAGGATAATAATGGCACCACACTCTCTGGTACAAAGTACATACTTTCGAGTCAATTAAAGTAATCACATTTGAATTCTATGATTTTAACATATATTTTTGAATCAGGTGATTTTTCTGTACATCTGAAATTTACATGTGGCACTGTGTTATCTATTCTGTATTGTCCATAACTTGAGGATCTTCAAGCAAAATCTTCAAACATGGTAATATCTGGTCACATACACTGTCCACTTACTTTAACTAACTGGATGATTGAGAATTTATGGTTTTTATGAAAATGTATTTTCAATTCTAGCATATTGTATTCTGATTTTATAGTATTCTAGCATATTGTACTTGATCTAAGGTTTGGCAATGAAACAAGATAAGATAAATGACACAATCTAAGATGTAGGCAAACTTGTCTCTACAGTCTACACACACGTTCGTGAATGTACAAGTCTCGTCAGCCAGCAGGTGGTTGTTTTAGAAATGTAGAACATATGGTAAAGTGCTTTCCAGAACAGAGTATGTTCAACAGCAAATACGAAATCTATCTAAAGACAGGCACGGTCATGCAGGAGTTATGTGAAATATTGCTCAATATTCAGTCCTAAAGTCACATGCACCCAGATCTTATGAAATGGGGGAAATGAGCACCTAAACCTACACAGATTATACTTTATCTATGACAAATGTTTTTGTGTTTTTTTGTATAAATCTACATTACAGCCCCACTTGCATGTCCCACTCATCCAGACACTAAGAAATACTAATCCTCCAATTAGGACGCATGACTCACGGCCCGGATTATTTTATCGATATACAATATTCCAATCCAGGAACCCTCTTTGTGCTTTCTTCCCAAACCCTGGTTAGCACCCCCTCCCTCTCCCCCTTAAATCCAGTCCCCATGGTCCCATTGTGCAATAGCAGACATGGTGGGAAGTCTGTCAGATGTCATTACAGATATCGGGGTGGTCTACATGAAACCAGAGAGGCGATAACTGGATCAATATATTTGTACTCACCTTACAGATCATCTACCGACGTCTCTTAATAGAATACAATCCACAGCACTGAGAAAATGTCTGACTCCCAGAATCCCTGCAGTGCGGGGGGGTGCCAGTGCCATTGACCCGGAAGTAATTCCAGGCAGAGGAAAAAAAGAAGAGAAAGTGAAAACTCACCCGGAAGTGAACACGTGATAGGGTGTCGTATTAGGTTTCAACATGTTCTCAGCTCACTTCCTGGTAGTGCCGCAATGCATGCTTACAGCGACCATGTGTCTGCTACATACTGGCATGTCGGATACAGGGTAGACGGGGCCCGCCTAGGAGTGCATGGCAGAGCAGCTCACCTTCACATATTGGATGTACTAATGCAACTTTATGTTTTGGATGTGAAAAAACCCCCAGATAAATTAGATCTCACTATCACACAGAAATACACATAGACACAGCAGTCAGCCACGCAGAGGCATTTGTTCACAGATTAAGATAGTCACACTATAGACACACCTATTCACAGTAACATAAGCAACAAATTCAGGCACACACCGGTGGCAGAATTAATGTAGATACTTCAACGCTAGCTGGGGATCTATCTACCGTTTCTCCATCTTTGGAATATTGTATTTTTGTGCGTTTGAATGTACACCTTTTTGTATGGAGTATGTGAATGCAGACGTTTATTTGTATGTACTGTTGCCATTTGAAGGCAGTGGTGTGTTTGTATGTAGTGTTGACCGCACGCGTGCATTTGCATGTAGCTTTGGTGGTTGAATTTGGTGTTGGCATTTGACTGCAGTGGTGTATTATCAAGCCACTCTGGGGAGATCTCAAACGTGCGGTTCACGCAAGACGACCAAAGACTATACATGTCCTGGAGGCATTTTGCCATGACGAATGGGCAGCTTTACCACCTGCAAGAATTTGGGGCCCTCATAAACAACAATTACAAAACACTGCTCTCTGTCATTGATGCTAAAGGGAGCAATGCACAGTATTAAGAACTATGGGTATGCAAACTTTTGAATGGGGGTCATTTCATTTTTTTCTTTGTTGCCATGTTTTGTTATATGATGGTGCCATTCTGTTATAACATACTGTTGAATATAAATCCCATAAGAAATAATAGAAATGTGTTTTGCCTGCTCATTGATGTTTTCTTTAAAAATGGTACATATCTTACCAATTCTCCAAGGGTATGCAAACTTTTGAGCACAACTGTAGATAATACACAGTCACACACACTTAACACTTTTTTTTGTAAAATAATACCATCTTTCCCAATTTCGACATTCATTTTTACAGCTAGTGCACAAACAAACTTTTAACTGGTCATGTAGAACAGATTGAAACATTTGTGATGATACTCATTGCCAATGATTTAAACATTCATTTTACTTGCAATTTCAGAGTGAAATGTCTTTTTTGTACTTAAAATTGAATGATTATTCAAGTACAGGCAAAATTTAAACTGAAAGCTACAGACGGAGTGACATGATGTAAAATGCGCACACGCTCAATAGCGGTCATGTGGCATGCCTTAAGGCAGTTTCTATAGCTTGAGTCTCTGCTCCCTTCTCCTCTCTCCCCCCAGCTTGATAAACTGTTTCCAGCTCCAGCCCTAGCGGTTCCTGGCTTGCTGCCTGCTGCTTAGGGCTTCTGCCTTCTTACATCTCATTAATCTACAGTGATTTCCAGCACATTGAGAGCCTTGCCTCACAGGAAATTGAAGCAAGTGTAGATGCAGATGGTCTGGCGGACGCTGAGAAAGATGAGGACACCATTGTATCGAGATATGTATCCAGTGATATGGGTGGTCTAGGAAAACTACTCTGTAAGCTACAACTTCCTACAATTTGCTTCATCTTGCTATAATTTGCTACATCTTTCTACAACTTGTTACATCTTGCTACATCTGCAAACTAATTGTAAATTGCTAAGCTCTGCTGAAACTAACTAAAACCGTTAAAAGTTGGATTTGCAAGTATCCTGCTAATACTAATTGATACTAATGATGTTCTGTTAATATTCTGCCAAATATTGTGAGCTGAGCTGCTGATTATAATTCATCTAGAGGCAGATCCTAAAAGGCCATGCACCAGGGAAACTACAGACACTAACTAAATTGTTAACTAAAGGTTGGGCATTCCCTATGTTCTGCTAAGACTAATGACGCTTTTCTAATACTCTGCTGAATATTGTGAATTGTGAGAGAGGACAAAAGAAGGGAAGGGAAACGAGAATGGAAATAATGGGAGGAAAGAAATAGTGGTTGAAAAGGGAAGGAAGAAAGAAAGGGAAGAAGGAAGGAAAGAGAAAAGGGAGAAAGAAGAAAGGAAAAGCAGCAAGGAGATAATGAAAAGCGGGAAGGGGAGTAAAGCTCTACAATTTTTTTGTTCAGGAAAGCTGAAAACATGAGCCAAAGAATGGAACTAGCTCCCCGCCATCCGAGGTCTGTTCTTACCACTGCGGGCCTACTAGATTTAGAGGCTTTCACAATCAAAATGAGGCTATTAATGCAAGAGTTGAAAAAAGATCTTAATGCAGACCTAGCACAACGTACTAGTGAGCTTACTAAATTTATAAATTACCTAGGTGACCGGACTGACAAAATGGAGTCTAAGATGGACGACATTGCCGATTCCCATAACACCCTAGTCTCCAATTTAAGTTAGCAGATCTAAAGGCCGTTCACGCCACAATAATATTAACATCAAAAGCATACCTGATACGATCCTGGTGGCATACTTTTTTAAAACCGTACCTGTCCAGCATTCTTCCTGACATATTAACCTCTGAGAACATAATCGACAGGATCCAGAGGTTGTCAAAAAGTTGCAAGTCCCCTCCAGATTCTTCTAGGGATGTCTTGACAAGAATTAATTTTTTTATCACAAAATAAAAATTATGGAGGCAGGCTGCTCCAAATGCAAAGTGGCTGAAAAGTATGCTCATATTCAAATGTTCTCTGACTTTTTAGCTTTTACCATGAACGAGCAAAGGAAACATCAACCTATAACACAGACTCTGAGAACCAATAACATTGTCTACTGTTGGGGGTTCCCAGTTTAACTGATAATTTCACATAATGGTGCAACTAAGGTGATCTCATCGCTTCAACAAAGAAAGAAATTACTTCAATTATGTTAAATTCAGCTACCTTTGATACCTCAACAAATGGGGGACCAACTTCAGAGAGTGAACAAAATATCCAGAGAGTGGGCATCATTCTCCACATCATACTCAAAGTATTCTCATTAAGGCTGAAATCTTGTGAATTATTTTTATATATGTAGTTCTATTATGAACACTTAATGGCCACTATGAAATGGAAAAGTATTATATTATATTTTTTTTGTGAATTAAAATATGGTCTTTTTTTCTTTTCTTCCTACAGATGCTGCTTAAATGCAACTGTTTAATTGAGTTTATGAGTGCAAATTTCTAAGTGTTAAGTGAATTTTCACTCATGTTCGACTTTTTGGGCAACAAGTTTCGTATCTGTGGCTTTTCCGTGGTCCCCGTGATAAGAAATGTTTGTGTAAAGATGCACCTTCCCCATATTGGGAATTTGCACCCTGGCACGATCAGCAATATATAACTATTTACTATATAAAAGTGGTCCAAATGCTACTGAATTTTTATTAACTCAATCTATCAAGCTCCGTTTGGTGCTGTGGAAAATGGCTTAATCCTTTGCAATGGAAGTGCAAATGCATGTATTTTATTTCTCTTTTCTTTCTTTCATTTTATCTCCTTTTTGCCCCTAGGAGACGTGGATTTTTCCATTGTTTCCCCTTTGGGCGGAATCAAGGGCTAAATACAATACCCATCAATGCTATAAGAGCACTGTTGTACATAGTTCATGGTTTGTTTGTTTTTGTTTATATTAGTTATTTTAAAATTTGTTTTAGTATTTTTTGTTTATGATTATTTTTATTTGCTTTATAATTTTTTTCTTTTTTGTTGTTGTTGATTATATTTCCTGGGAGAAAAACATATGTATATAGATAGGCTTTATGCAACTCAAACCATATTAACTCATATGTTAATCCAAGAGCGGAGTGTTAGACATAGAATTTGGTTGATACCTGCTGTATGCCTTTTTTATCTTGTCTCGCCAGCCATGAATAGTGGAAGTGTGATTGAAGTTCTAATCCAGGCTGCTAATAGTGAAGAAACACAATATTTATTCCTAAAATAAGGAGTCATTCATTGTACAAAGTGGGTTTCTTGTATGCATATGGTAGAAGCCTTAATTACTTGTGCAGTTTCCCATAACATCTTGCTTTTATGCGGGGAATTTAACCCACATGCATTAATAAATAGAATATTTAAAGTCATAAGAAAAAGTAGCAAAATATAGGAGAGCTTTTCTTAAATTTTATTTCTGGGCTACTATAAAGTCCCAAAGGCAACGTAACCAATCTGGCGAATTTCAATTTTAAACGTAACTTGCTATATTTGACCCTGTAACTTCCCAAAATGCCAAAAAACCTGTACAGAGGGGGTACTGTTCTACACGTGAGACTTTGATGAATACAAATATGTGCATTTTATTGCAGTAAAAGCAAACAGTATTATGACATTGACTGTTAAAATGTCATGTAGAACTAAAAAAATCAAAAAAAATCTTATTTTCTCCCATTTTTTTCATATTAAATTATGTTTTATAGCTAAATATTTGATATTAAATGAAAGCCCTGTTTCTCCTGAATAAAATGATATATAATAAGGGTGGGTGTATTTAATATGAAAGGTGAATTACAGTTGGACAGACATGTAACGGAAATGCCAGGTTTTGTTTACATTTTGTTTCGTTCACAACGTGTACATTTGGCTCAGTCCTTAAGGGGTTAATGTTAGCAAATTTAAAGGTAAAGTCACAGATATAATAAACAGAAAAAATCAACAGAAAAAAGGTTAACTAACACCACTTAAAAAAGGGGGTTGGAGACACAGATTAAGTTAATAAATAAACAAATAAAGTATACATATCTGTTAGTAAAATAAAAAACTAAAATAGACTAGAAGAAAATATAGAAAGAATAAAAAATGGAAAAAGATACAATTATAAAAATTATGAAAAATAATAAAAATTATACCACAGGTATAGAATCCCTTCCTAGTAATGTTTTTTTCGTTCTTACTTTTATCGCTGAAAAGACTCGGTGTTAAATAGGTTGAAAAGTTCCTCCACTTTCTGTAGATGACATTCAGTATATCCAGTATTTCTGGTACTAGAAATTCGTCATGTTTAAGTACAGGCTTCTTTAATATACGGTTAATGGAAAAGACCTTGGAATTATATTGAGTATTGAAAGAATACTCAAATTTGTTATTTGGATTGGATGATTTTTTTCGGTTTGTCAATAAGGAGGTCTCCTCTACTGACTTTTTCTATTTTCTGAACTATCATTTCAAGATGTTTTTCCTTGTACCATTTTTCCAGAAATTTTTTAGTTAAGTGCTCTGCTTGTTCTAAATATGTTTCTCTATCTGTGCAGTTCCATCTGAGCCTAGTGTATTGGCACTTTGGAACTCCTGAAAGCCATCTAGGTCGGTGACCACTACTTGATTCAATAAAGCTATTTGTGTCTGTGGGTTTAAAAAAAGCTTTTGTTTTGATTTCAGAATCCACAATGAAAATCGTCAGATCTAAAAAATCTATAGAACTAGGACTAAAAACTGATTTAAAAACTAAGGAGAAGACATTGTAATTAAGATACTGAAAATTTTTTTGTAATAGTACATCAGATCCCTTCCAAATGACAGGGATATCGTCGATATATTAACGCCAGAGCACTAGGTTTCCCCATATGGATTATTTTCCCAAATTGATGTATGTTTTCAACAATCCATGAAGATGTTAGCATAACTTGGGGCAAACCTGGTGCCCATGGCATTGCCCTTGACCTGTAGGTAAAATTCTTCATTGAACGTAAAGAAATTATGAGTACATATAAATTAAATATATTCAAGTAAAAAAGAAGAACGTTTGAATCTTAATAAAAAATCTCTTAAGGCTCATTTTTCTAATTAACTTTTGCATGTCAATATAAATTAAAAAATAGGGTTAGGTGGAACATTTGGGGTATATTTCCCCAGGAA